TATGATAGTATATGATGCTATATGATAGTATATGATAGTATATGATGCTATATGATGTTATGTGATGCTATATGATGTTATATGATGCTATATGATGCTATATGATACTTTATGATGCTATATGACAGTATATGATGCTATATGATAGTATATGATAGTATATGATGCTATATGATGTTATATGATGCTATATGATAGTATATGATGCTATATGATAGTATATGATAGTATATGATTCTATATGGTGTTATATGATGCTATATGATGTTATATGATAGTATATGATGCTATATGATAGTATATGATGCTATATGATAGTATATGATGCTATATGATGTTATATGATGCTATATGATACTATATGGTGCTATATGATAGTATATGATGCTATATGATAGTATATGATAGTATATGATGCTATATGATGTTACATGATGCTATATGATGCTATATGATGCTATATGATGCTATATGATGCTATATGAATGCTATATGATGGTATATGATGCTATATGATAGTATATGATAGTATATGATGCTATATGATGTTATATGATGCTATATGATGCTATATGATAGTATATGATGTTATATGATAGTATATGATAGTATATGATGCTATATGATGTTATATGATGCTATATGATGTTATATGATGTTATATGATGCTATATGATGCTATATGATGCTATATGATAGTATATGATGCTATATGATGTTATATGATGCTATATGATAGTATATGATGCTATATGATAGTATATGATAGTATATGATGCTATATGATGTTATATGATGCTATATGATGTTATATGATGCTATATGATGGTATATGATACTATATGATGCTATATGATAGTATATGATGCTATATGATAGTATATGATGGTATTTGATGCTATATGATAGTATATGGTGCTATATGGTGTTATATGATGCTATATGATAGTATGTGATGTTATATGATGCTATATGATGTTATATGATGCTATATGATACTATATGATGCTATATGATAGTATATGATGCTATATGATAGTATATGATAGTATATGATGCTATATGATAGTATATGATGCTATATGATGTTATATGATGCTATATGATGTTATATGATGCTATATGATACTATATGATGCTATATGATAGTATATGATGCTATATGATAGTATATGATAGTATATGATGCTATATGATGCTATATGATGTTATATGATAGTATATGATGCTATATGATGCTATATGATATTATATGATGTTAGATGATGCTATATGATGTTAGATGATGCTATATGATAGTATATGATGTTATATGATGGTATATGATAGTATATGATGCTATATGATAGTATATGATAGTATATGATGCTATATGGTGTTATATGATGCTATATGATTTTATATGATACTATATGATGCTATATGATAGTATATGATGCTATATGATAGTATATGATGTTATATGATGCTATATGATGTTATATGATGCTATATGATGTTATATGATGCTATATGATGCTATATGATAGTATATGATGCTATATGATAGTATATGATAGTATATGATGCTATATGATGCTATATGATGCTATATGATAGTATATGATGCTATATGATAGTATATGATAGTATATGATAGTATATGATAGTATATGATGCTATATGATGTTATATGATGCTATATGATAGTATATGATAGTATATGATGCTATATGATGTTATATTATGCTATATGATGTTATATGATGGTATATGATGGGTAATGATGGCTATTTATGTTATTACGTTTTATATTTTTTGTCGCTTTTTTACATTCGCGTATTCTGGACATGAACTTATTACCCGAAATTTTTAAATTTTACCGCTGATCAAAACTAGAAATAAATCGGGCAGCCAGGTTGGCCACTTGCGGGCTGGACTCCCTAAGGGTGGCATGAACAAATAGGTACGCCATGCGTACGTCCATACACAGCTTGTTGTCTGTTGATTCTAGGTGATTCTTGTTGTTACTATTGAAGTTTTTAGAGTTATTTCAATGTATCTCAAACGTCAGAGTCCAGTAAATAAGTACTAAGTAGTATTCTATAATAAGCTGTCGTGGTTTGTGCCCTTCAATGGATCTTCAATTGCCTCAAAAAGATATCTCAAACTTGGTTGTTTAGTGCGAGGTTCAGTGTAGGTAGTATTCTACAATAAGCTGCCGTGGTTTGTGTCTAAACTACCTGAAAAAATATCTCAAACGTAAAACAGTTTAATCCCCATCAGTCAATAACGGTGCAAAATAGAAAAAGCCTGATATTGAAAATTGGTGGCTCAGTTTCCTGGTTCCATTTGTGTAGGATTCAAGGATTGACAAGTATTAAAATTGGTGAATAAACCACGCATATGTAAATATTAACTGTTATTTTAATTAAACTGCTGAATGAAAAGTAAATGGGAAAAGAATGTTTTTCATAAAGGCAAAATAATAAAGAAAAAACTTCAGCGTATCAGTTTAGATAAATAATTCAGGATTTTGTGTCTCGTTTACTGAACTCTGAAGTTTATACGTAACTCGAAAACTAGGAATAGAATGGGACAATATTAACATGTTTTTTTCGAAGAAGCAAAATTAATAATTGATTAAGATCATGGAAAATAGCTAAAAATTAATATCAGCGACAGCGTATTTAAATAATTTTCGATAAATTATTCAGAATTTTGTTTTGCGTTACATAATTCGAAAACCGAGAATGGGACACAACAACATGTTATGTTTGTTAGAAGCAAAATTAAGAATTGTATTAGAATCAAGGAAAATAGCTTAATTAAAATTAATATCACTCAGCGTATCAGTTTGGATAAATTATTAAAAATTTTGTTTTGCTTTAATTTAGATTGCGTAACAGAAAAAGGAGTGATTAAAATCGAGGAAAATAGCTGAAAATTAATATCAGTTGATCAGTCCTGATAAATGGTTCGGGATTTTTCTTTCCTTTTTCTTATGTTATGACTTATGTAACTGATGTTTATCAGATTCACAGATTTATCAACAAACGGAAGACTTTATATAACAAGGAGAGAAAAGTTATATAAGAATCTTCAGGGCCGCTGCAGTAGAAACACTTTGCAATTTAGGCCTTCCGGTCAGAAAAGTTCGATAAGTGGCGTCGGGTGGCATGTATGGGCGGCCTAGCAACAGATGCTGACATGCAAATTATAATTGTCTTGTGTGTAGGATATGCCATGCTTGGATTATTAATATTAGCATCAGCACACAATTCGCCCCCTTTCTCGATCGATTTTACTCGTCAAGGAGAACGGTTTTAGCATTGAATTAATAAAATTCAGCTGCAGTGACCAATGTGCCCTATAGGCTATAACCTATACTGTTTTGTCTTTGTTATTTAACTCTGCTTCGACTTGCTAATAACGATCAATTCGCTACGAATAATTGTACTTCTGAAAGCCAAAGGATAGGTGTTGTGCTTAAACGCTAGACATGTTAAATTGTAGATCAGTCGGATTAATATAAGTCGCATTTTTGCAGAGTGTTGACCGGTGGTCATTTTCTTTAGCGTTGAAACGTGATCGATGATTATTTTTAAACTCACTGCGACAGGTTTCAATGTTGTTTTTTTTAAAGAAACTTTCGATTTTACGTGATTCGCGCAAGAAGAATGAGAATATACGTGATTCGTGAATCGTTCCTTGTGCATGAAAGGTTGTTTCAGGATTGAATAGGGAACTAGGGAATTCCGGTTGTTTTCCTTGAATTTCTTGCGACAAAGAGCTTATATAGCCTTAGCATCGGAATTAGCAAGTACAATGACGAACTACGATCGAAGATTGAACAGCTTAGCAGCGGAACTAGCAAGTAGAATGTTCATCCGTGGACCGTGAATAACTTTTGTATTTTCACGTGAATCGCGAAAGACTTTTCGCAATTTTTCGTCGGAAAAGACTAAATATTTTTATCTGAATTAATGCATTTTGTGAAAGGATATAGAGGGCCCTTTAATTCGAACTTGAGATTGAAGATTAAAGAGTATTATCACTAAGATATTCCGCGAGATGTCATGTCCAAATTGCTGTTTTGACGTTGTCAAATATCCGAGTACGATTATTTGTCATTTAAAAATACTTGCAAATGTTAGTAGTATACTAACCCCATATACACCTCCTGTATATATAACATGCACTATTATTATTCAATTTTCCATCATATCAGGAGCGTTTTATGTATGTAGGGGGAGAAACGACTGATCAATATTGATCTTGCTTGCAACCACGCACATGCATTATTGAATATCGTGTTATTCAATATCCTGCTTTGTGACAGGTGGAAAATGTGGGGAAGTAATTCCTTCCCCAGTGTATGGACAATAAGGTGCATGACCTCCTCCGCATAAAAGGGGAGGTGAGAGGGTGGGGTGAGGGGTCGGGGGGGAGGTGTATACTTTATGTGGATTTGGAACATCTCACATAAAATTTGAGAAATGTTAAAATGGTCATTTCGTATGAGTGAAATTTACAATTTTCACATTCAAATTTGAGCTGGACATATTTCTTCACATGTAAATTGAAGGCTAACAATGTGAAAATTTATTTCACATGCGAAATTTTCGTAAGAGCTTGAAACTACACAGAATATGAGCCTTACGTGAACGAATGTGCATGCATGTCTAGACATGCACACTAGTTCATTGACAATCAGCTATTGGCGAGTTCATAGTAGTTCGTGCCAGCATGACGAACGAGTTTTTTTTCGATCAATATTTCTTTGACAAGTTTCAGTGCTATTTCGTGCAGCAGACGGTGGTAAACCTATTTTGTATACGTAAACAATTTCGTGAAAATTTTGCTTCAAGTCGCTTGCACCAAAATTTAAACGCAGCTGAAACTGTCTACGACACGGCACACTTCAAAAGCAAATTACCAAATGAACGGGATTAAATTGCAATGGCCGCTCGAAGATATTTGTGCAGTAAATTAAACCGGTATATACAAACGAACAATCAGTTTCCTTGTTGAAAAGCCAAACTAACAATGCTAAACATTGAGTTGTAAATAGCTTAGCCTAAGGATTTTAAAAATTTCCAAGTGGATAGCATATCCCAGAGCCTATAGATTTGAGTTGTTGGAAGGCTAGGCTAAACAAGTTAGTGACGGAGTTATGGTATTTACATAAACATACCATGCAAGTACTTAACTGAAGATTCAGTATATCTATAGTGTAATGTAGAGTTACTCTGTATAACTAGAAATCTGTTTCAAAAAACGCACGAAACGCAGACCTAGGGGCGGAGGAATACAAACATTTTCTGGGGGGGGGACATCCCCAGACCCCCTACTATTGCATACGACACCCCACCAAACTATTTGCAACCAACAACATCTGTCATCACTCAGTATAGTATGGTACCTTTTTATAGATCCCCCCGGCAAGGGTAAAGGTAATCAAATATTCAATGTTTGAACAACATTGTGGCGTAGGGGCGAGGGATCATGGCTGTTTACATGAAATAACAATTTGACTTTACAACATGGTAATACACGATAGGTTTCATATAAAATGTCTACGGTTATTTGTATCCATGAATGTAGTTACACACCTGATCTCATGTGAATAGGGCTTCAAAGTGTGTATGCCTTCACGTGCTGATTATATCGTTACGTGGCACAGCTCAGACAAAATTAAGAAATAATTATCAGCTTCTGTAGATCCACGCGCGCACTTGATACACGCCACATGACTCGGTTGCATTATATAACATTATATATATATTGTCTGTGATACTGTTATCTAGATCAAGGAGACGCACTAATTTCCTTACATTTCACTGGGAAAACAAGATGTGCCCTGCACGTGTTGTTTAGTTTTGGTGCATTAATTAAGGATTAGCAGGGGTATTTTGTGGGGAGGGGGGGGGATTCTCCCCCAAGAATCCTGAATTCTCCCCAAATCTGAAAATAGTTAAATTCTGGGGGGGGAGCATTTCTCCCCAAAATGAAATATGAATATCATTATTAATATAAACTGGTAAGTGATAAGGCATATACTGACCTTGAGTATAAAAATGGGTAATTATTTGGAGGTACAGCTGGTGAAACCAGACATCATTTCTATCCCCTCACTTGGAAATAGGTGAGCGCAGGAAATTAATGCTGTCTGGGTTTGTGACTATATATAGGAGGGGGGAATTCCCCGTCAAATAAAAAGCCCCTGAAATTTGGGGGATCGAAGTCCAAAAATCTAAAATACCCCTGGGATTAGTGTCAAACCATGGTTTTGTTCTTGGTTTTGCTTTTATCGTACCCAAAATAAATAACAGTAAAAAGTCTTGTCTGCTACATTTCCAATAAGAATCAGGTAAAAGAGGCAGAGATTCTCAAACAAAGGATGGTTTAAATATACGCTTGCTTACAGAAAAACCTTTCCAGATCTACCGATCTGTTATAGGATCGTAAAATGGCCGCCAGCGTGAATTGAGCCCGCAATAACATGGTGCGACACTAATCCTTTCAATTTTATGCTTGTACGAGATGGGGTTAATGACCTCATGGGTGTTCTTGTTGGTGACATCGTCATGACCTTAACCCAACGTTGACTCCAATTCATGACGAACACTCGTGAGGTGTCAACCCAGAACGAGTATGACCCGCAATCTACTCTGCCAGCACTTTCTTTACACACCGTATTACCTCTATTTTGCCCCACCCTGCTTTTATCCACCTTCGTCACCTCTCTTTACCCCCACCCCCCCTAATTAACCCAAAGTCCAGAAGCGCTGAAAACATATAAGCCCCCATCCTCTATTTAAACCCCACCCTCTATTTATCCCCCACCCTCTATTTAGTCCACCCCCAATTTAGTCCCACCCTCGATTTAGCCCCATCTTGTATTTATCCCCCACCCTATATTCAGCCCCCACCCTCCATTTAGCCCCCATCCTTATCTGGCCCCCATATTCTATTGAGCCCCAACCTTCTATTTAACCTCCACCCTCTATTTAACCCCCACCCTCTATTTAACCCCCATACTAATATTAATTGAGCAATTCTATCAGTTGGATAGGTGTCATATGTGTCTCACGTACTATCGATCACTCCCTCGTACGGAGGCAACATGAGCAGTGTAAAACACTTTAAAGGCCAAGGGCAATTTTTCTATTTTCACAGATCGATAACTTTGCTCCACCTGGTTTACGTTTTCCAAATATTTAGAAGCGCTATAACATTTTGAGTTATTTGGTCTTCATATCTTTTAAAATTTCCTAATTTCATTGGCTGTTTTATTAACTTTCAAAAACTGAAAAATCGCGCCGAATCCCGTCCTGTGTGTCAAGTGTCCCATGCCAAGTACTCAAACATCTGGAAAGGCATTGACATGAGTCTTGTGGAAATGGATTGTCATTTGTCTTGTGATCAGACTATATATGTAGATATTGATCGAACTATGTAGGAAGGAGCTCTTTACGGATCGACTATATGTACCGTACCATTAAGATATGTGATAAATATTATAAGCGATGTCCATAGGTAGAGCAATAATATCCCTAAAGGCCATTTTCCATTGCACTCGCTTTGCCCGCGCGGTTGGAGCGACCAATTTTAATCACGTGAAAAATCAGTCGCCCGGGCACGCCAAGAAAGTGAATGTAGTTCTACTTTCATGGCGTGTCCGCGAGCATTCAGGCGGACAAAAAATGCACAGGTTAGGCAACTACAGAGAAAGTTGAGTATAATGTTCGCTCCGCCCGCGCGAGCAAAGCGATTGCAATGGAAAATTGTCTTAAACCTACAAGAAACACGACGACGTAAAGTTTCAAAATTTCTTCAAGAATTGAGTAATTATTTACCTTACTCCAAAGTAAATTTCCTCGTAAATTTCAGTAATTTTACTCAAAATTTTGAGACAATGTGGGTATATTATTTTCAGTCAAGTTTTTTCGAGTCAAATCTTTTTGCATTGGCTTTGAATGAAATTAAATTACAAGTATCATGGATGAGGACACACAATCATCCTTGCTCAGATCTAATTCCGAAACACATAAGCAACAACTACCATCTCGCAGGTCAAACAAGAAAAAAGTATCAATATTTTCTGGAACTGAAAGACATAGATCTTTCACACCGAGGCTGCCTCACTTTTTTAAATATTTGGTGAATTTTTAGGCTATTTTTGAACACTTGCCATAAACGTCATTTTCAAAACTTTTTAATTATGTATATATAGAACCATGGATAATAAAATACAATTTTATTATCCATGTTATTATCCATACAATGTTATTTTACAATCCATGATAGAACATAGGTAGTTTTTAAAAAACATTTGATGTAATTTCATTTGTATTTCTCAGCGTAAGAATGGAAATAAAGATTATTATTACTCCACATCGGGTCTTTTCAGTGACCGATTACATGAAGTATTGCGCTTACTTATATATTACTTATTTAGTCCCAACTGTATTCGAGACATGGTCATCAAAACGTCTCCATTATAGGTGATATTTTATGTTAAGGCAGCTTCACCGTGTGTCAAATGTTTTTGGAAATTTTTGCTTATATTATTTTGTGGCTTTCATCAGGCTTTCTAATTGGTGCACCTGGGGGCCATTCAAACAAAAAATACCGTATCAAGGATACACAATTATACCTAGAAATATAAGCAAAACTTGTGCTTATATTTTTCAAGTAGTTGTATTGTATAGCTGGGTTTCAGTCACGTGGCACATTTAGCGCTTCGTGCATGGTCAACTCCAAAAAGAAACACAGTTTACCAGAACGAGTTAAGTTTTCATTATATGCAATTTGGCAAAATTTGCTAGCTTCCACAAATCGTGTAAATATGCATGTGTAAAGTTGAAAGCGTTTCTCTATGTATTAGGCTCAGTGAAAACCACCTATATCCTTCATATAACGTATCTGTCAATATCTGTCTGTTATCGCCTCACCAACCGAGCGTTCGACATTCAAAAAGGGTCTTATTAGAATGCCGTTATATTTACTGCTATACGTTTGCGCTATTCCGTAGCGGCGCGAAAAATGATTGCCTTATCCGATACGGAATGAACAACTTTGAGAAGTTCAGTGAAACAACATGTCTCCGTTGTAATAACGGATTCCTCTGAAAATAGCGTTCCTATAATTATATAAAAGTGAAACGTAGCTTCAGTCCATGCATCTGCCTTTGTCTTAAGGTCTCCGGCAAGATGCTTGAAATCCACCGTGATATGATATATATTTCAACCTTATATGGTTGGTAAATCCGCCGTGATATATTTCAACCGCATATACGTTCGCTCATTATGCCAAGAATTCGTTGTCCCCACAAGTTTCCATAAATACGAACAAACAAAACAAACAAAACAAAAATAGAAAGATTGGGAATTTTTTTCAGACAACATCTAGATTGATTAAGATTACACTTATCTCGCTATGTTTTATATAAACACAATCTATGTGTGTAATTTCTATTATATAATTCCGCGTCCTGATTTCTGGCGTTCTAGGATTTAACTCAACTTGTCATTGGAATAATTCGCGTTAAATAGTGCTAATAGTGATCAAATCATCATCACAGTTTCACTTTATACGGGTAAAAACTATGGATTGTTGTTGGTAAACAAAGCCAGGGACACGAGAAAAACAAAGAAAAAGTAGTCTCCCATTATTAGCGACTGTTTTTTAGTCCGCGTCGCGGATTTGGTACATCGAGACACACCGGACGCGATTCGACAACGCGACGCGATTTTTCGATTTTCACTGAACGATAACTTTGATCCTAGTTTAAATTTTCCAAATATTTAGAAGCGGTATAACATTTTGAGTTATTTGGTCTACATATCTTTTAAAATTTGCTCTCCGGCATTGGCTGTTTTATTAACTTTCAAAAACTAAGAAATCGTGTCGCGTTGCCAAATCGCGTCCGGTGTCAGTCTGGATCCTTAATTAAGCTCCCTAAAGGCCATTCTCCACTAGGCGGAAGTTTCCGCAAGAAGCGGAATTTTTCTTTGTCTTGTGATTTCTCGGGTGGAACTAATTAGAAAAGACAAAGAGAAATTCTGCTCCGCGCGGAAAATTCCGCCTGGTGGAAAACAGCCTTAATATTACCTGGGACTCGCAAACGTGACTCCTTTATTCGCGAATAATTATATATATTTTAGTACGGCTCCTGCAATTAAATTATACATTATATAAGCCAGGGAACCGACGCGAGAGTGCATAAAAGTTGGCAGTAACGCAATCTTAGGCTTAGTTAGCTGTTTTTAATGCTTTCCCAACATAATAAATAAAATATCATGTATTTTACCTAAGTTATAAAACATACTTGGAAAACTTTATTTTTTTAATCTAGAGCTTAAATAGTTGTCCAGCTGTAACGATTCATATCAGTCCTCGTTTGACTGCATGACTAGCATTGAAAGCGAATAGTCCTACCAGCTTAAAAATACTGTATAAAATCATGATCATTTATAATGCAATTCAATTTGTCAAGCTTATGGCTTTTGGAGTAAAACCATAGAGTAAAATGCATGCAATGAATAGGCAAAGACACTCGAACATATACTGAAATTATCGTTTATGTATATATTTCTGTATTCAATATAATATTTTTTGGAAAAATTATATTTACAATTTCATTTAAATTGCACACAATTTAATTCACATGCACATTGGCATAGCCTAAATTCTAAAATATAAGCTAAATATTTTCAACCTTTGTGGATTATCATTTACAAAACTATAAAGGCAACTGGGTTTTAAGTTGCTGTCAATCAATTCGAAAACATCTGCTATATATGAGCTTTACATATATATTTGACTTTAATGTAAGTCACAGCATGAATATGCCTTTTACTTTCAAAAGACAATAAAATTTATTAAGTTAGCAATCGCATTATTTCTAGAACTAACCATCGCATTATTTCTAACCAAACAGTACAATGTCAAAATATTGTTCGCCTTTTCCTGCATTTTTTAACGCATAATGTCATTCAAAGTCAATTTGCTAAAATGTCAGTGCGGAGTGGCAATTTACAAATGCAATAGCTGTCCTTTCTGCGGTACAAAACTCGCAAAATAATTGCTAGGTTTCCACGTTTTGATTCAAAACTTCATTGCAGATTTTCCAGCTTTGAAAAATGTTCGAACTGGCCAGATCTTTCGGCAATTCAACGGTCTTTCTAGCGCGGACCGTTAGTCCCAATTCGAATAGCGTCTATTTTCTACTGAAATCCACCGCCGAAGACAGCGCTGTTCGCTTTATGCCATAGGTCATCGAACAGGGATTGCTGAGCAGATTCGAATAAGAATTTCTCGATATCCGTTGCGGACTTCTTTAAAAAAGTTCCTCGGCGACGGGCAGACGGACAGCTTTCGTCGTTACATAATTCTTCTGCGGTTCGTATCAACATTTTAACATCTCTGGCCGCTTCGTTTCGACAAACGTCGCTTAAATCCACGTAAACAAACGAATTTTTCGATTCCTTCGTTGAGTCCATATCCATTGATGTTTAACACAAGTTTCTTTAAATCGTCCGAATGTTTCCGATCAACTTTGGTCCCTGTTAGTTACAACAGCAGACAGTAGCATATACTCATTGTATAAATCAGCTTCGACCGTCTTTATATAGCAAACACACATCCAGCATTATCGTTGTTAATGCTAATTTTCCGCGCGTTGGCGAACGCACGCAAATAAGTCGGATTGGCTAAGCCGCTCGTGACGTCATCCTCGGAAATTAGCGGTAGTGAGTGTCGTCAACGACCGGTGCACGCTAAATTTGTGACCGAAATTTTCAGCTGTCCCGCTAAACTAAGTTCTTTTAGTTTATAGAATTTTCGCTAGAATATGCATGGGCGAATGGGCCATACGTAAAAAGTGCGAGTAAAATTACTGATAACGCCCACTACTTGTTGGGCTTTGTTATATAACGAGTTAGTATGACCCAATGTATACTATAGAACTTCGAGGGTTGTTTTATAATATGTCATTTAATGTAACGGTTGGATAATATTAGGGAGTTCAAGCTTTGGCAGGTTCGAACTTTCTTGGCAAAATTTTCGTTGAACGTTTGCGTTTCATATTTTCTTTCTTGCGTCCAAAGAATAATTATGTATTTCAGTTTTAAAACAGCAAGTTCATTTACTCTTTATTGCCTGATACCGTAAAATTTTTCTTTGCCGCCTGGCGTTTGCCGTTTGACGTATAACGCCAAGCTTAAACTCTCTATTAGATACTATATGACGCTACGGCAAATTTACCGTAGCATATATAGTGATTTGCATCCGGAGTGCCAAACGTAGTGGTCCGTATATAGTTAATACGCTACGGCAAACCACTCCGTTATATAGTGTAAACACAATACTAGGAAACGTAGTGAATTTTTAACGAAATTGATTTGTATTCAGAGTGGCAAATGTAGTGGTCCATAGTTTGTGCGCTACGGCAAACCACCCCGTTACACAATATAGTCTCAATACTAACTAAAAAGGTATAGAAAATTTTTAAATTTTTAACGGATTGTTAGCCGTAGAGTTATAGGGTAAACGCGGCCTAAAATTAATACGTTAGGCTGCTGAACGATTAAAAACTGGCTTCCATTTATTTTTAATTAAGCAGCCGGGGTTTGAGTCAGAAATATTTTTAACATTAAGTGAGTCTTAGGTCACATGACAGTATATAGACAAGACTAATGATTAATAGTTATCGAAGCTATCTCATATTCAGCGTTATATTAATGCCGCTAGCTATATAGTTAACTGTAAAACTTGTGTTTAATTGACAAAACTCGCGTGAACAATATTCTGCGGCCAATATAGCCATGAAATAGATATTAAGATTATAAAATATATTAGCATAAAGCTCAACGTGGCAAAATATCGAAATATAATTTGAATAACAAATGATATATCTTCTTAAATTTCCTGCTGTCTGAAAAGAATACATAATGCAATATCGCAACTGGGCCTTCTGAAATGCAGCATATGATATTGAAATTCGTTATTTGTGCCAATGTCTGTAACGGCGAGGCCATACTACTTTTAAGCCCTAATTACTACTGACAAAGCCCACATGTTATATATAATAGCGTATTAACTACTGTATAATCTAAAAGTTGCTTTGAAAAACAAAACATATAGCTATTAAAATGTATCTTACTGTCTTATGGCATAAAAGCTGGACATGTAGTCTGTACTATGACAGCTTTTCTACTATTAATATTGAAAACGTTGCCAAGCAGTATAGTTAAGTGTTCCTCCACAGACAGACAAACACCCACTCTGCATGACTCCTATAGTTTCAAAGTATAGTATAGAAATCCTCTTTCTCAAAGTAGGATGAAATTTATCTTTTGTTGATATATAGATTTCATCAGACTGGCTCACAAAGACTAGAAATTCTTGCATGAGTAAAATTAGTCTCCCATTTATGAACAAATTTGCTCGAATTTTTTAGTAAACATTTACTTTACTATAAAAAATATGAGTAGGTTTGCTTATAAATTTGAGTCATTTTATCCAATAATTTCAGTCACTATTGGTAGATTATTTTATCCAAGTTTTTGAGTCATGAAACTAATCGTTTGTGGCATATAAAGTTCACCATGCAGTCCGCAAGGCCGCTAGTGACTATACCGTATATATACTACAACATAAAGCAGGTTTCTAGGTAAAGCAGTTAAGCGTTACTCCAATATAGTCGGGAACAACATTAGTTTTCGTAACGGGTTTTAATTCATTTTTGGCAAAACAGACATTGATATTCATCATGCATTTGTGACATACAAAGTCCACCAGTCTGTAATGTGGTGCCTATACTACTAATAAACGTCGCCATGCTGTAATTAGGTGTTACTTTATAGAACACCCTGCACCCTCTAGTCTCAAAGAATATGCGGATAAAATTCTCGACCACAGCTATAGTAATTTTGAGTATAAAGTTCACGAGTCTGTAATGCCGTGCCTATACTACAAATAAAGCGTTGCTAAGCTGCAGTAGTTAAGTGTTACTCCATACTAGAACACCCACCCTCTAGTTTTCAAAAAACAAGGTATAATTTTTTATGCTATATAAAGTTCACGAGTCTGTAATGCAGTGCCTATACTACAATTCTAATAAAACATTGCTATAAAGCAGTCGAATATTATTCTATATAGTATATCCACCCTATAGTTTTCAAACAATAGGATATAATTATTTTATGCTATATGAAGATCACGAGCCTGTAATGCAGTGCCTATACTACAATATTAATAAAACATTGCTATAAAGCAGTTAAATGTTATTCTATACAGAACATTCACCCTCCAGTTTTTAAAAATAGGATATCAGTATTTCTCCTATATCATAGCTATATAGTGAATTTCATTTTTAGCCCAGAAAAAATTCATGACTGTAATTATATGCCTACACATGCAACTTTAGCGTTGCTATATTGTACTTATGTGTATAGAACACCTACCCCCGAATCGAAAAATATGGGATGCGATTCTCTTCCCCGTGCTGTATATTACCCCGTTCATAAGTAGAATCGTGCAAATGACGTAAAGCGTGTAGTGTCTGGTCGTAAATCGGCGATCTGGCACCTTATTAGATGACAATCATCTGACGAGTATATGGAATCGTATGACGTTAGGATTAAGATGAGCTCAGATTTTTTTCTAAAATATCGTCAATATTAGATTATAAATAGATGTGAATAAATAAACTTACATATTGATTATATAATTTTGTCTTTGCATAAATGTAACAGTTTCTTCTTGAATGGCCATTATATTGTGGACTGATTTTTCCTGCCAAATTTAACAGAAATATGATTAATTATTTTCGGTGCGATTTCCTCTTCTGATGGATGTGAACGAGTGGATGAACAATGAATGTTCAGATGAGGGTACGTGTACTCAGAATATTCATAATTCATCTACACGTTCACATACATCAGAAGAAAATCGTACCAGCAGCAAAAATAGATCTTAGGGACCGGTCATAAAGTAACTGCTAGGGTGGGCTGGAGTGATTTGGGATGGGCCATGGAAAATCTTTGGGCAATTTCGATGGGCCGCCAATTTTTTTGTATGTCCACGGTTGGGCCACCAAACAAAAACCCATGCATGTCTACTTCAAAAAATAGAGATATTAATAATAGAAGTAAACAAAACTATCCAAATTATCAAATGCAAATGATGCTATTGAAGCCAGTACTTTGTTTTATACAACAACAAGAAGTGGTCGAATTACAAATACAACCAACTGGAGAGCAGCTCAGAATCGTAATTGGTGATGAATGTGTTGGTCTAGCTTGGTGGAATTATGTATGTCAATACAGTGCCGGTGTATATTTACAATGTTCATACCTGCAAGTTTTTTTTATTATAAAAATGTATTTTCCCAATTTGAGATTGGGTGGGTCATGAAAATTTTTTTGTAAGATTAGATCGGCTTTGAAATTTTTATCTACATCCTAAGATGGGTCATCGAACTTATTGGCAAAATTTGTGATTTACCTCCAGCCCACCTTAGCAGTTACATTATGACCAGTCCCTTATATCCCGTTTTTTCATTTCAATTTTTATTTAACGAAAGAATCAGCATGTTGCATGTGTAGGCATAGCACTACAGTCCTACAGATTCGTTAATTTTCTATGGGGAAAAAATGAAATTCACTATTGCTGTGATATGAGAAATATATCCCATTTTTTGAAACCTAGAGGGTGCGTGTTCTATATAAAGTAGCACTTAGCTAACTACTGCATAGCAACGTTTTTGTAGTAGTAGTATGGGCACAGCTTTACAGACTGGTAAACGTTATACGGCATAAAAATAAGATTCACTATAGCTGTGAATCCTATAGAATCCTGGAAATATTTTTTCAGAAGACTTTCAAGGAAATTTTCGGAAATATTTTTCAGGAAATTTTCGGAAATATATATTTTTTGTCTGAATCAGAATTTTATCTGGATATAACTGATATATTATTTGGATTGAAATATTATCTCGATCTGGGGTTTCGCAAAAATGAACAGACATGCACAAATTAAAACATCAGGTTAAATTTAACCCAGGAATAGTTAGTAATCGTCAGTTTGAACAACAACCCTCATCAGTAATATCTTGTGATGTTTATTCTAAATCTATAAAAAAAACTAGTCCACTATTTCAAATACGTATTAAAAAAGGCCCATATTAAACGATTTGAATCTAAGACAACGTTCACATAGTGATAGGCAGATCTGCCAAGCTGTTGTGAATAGATTAACGAGGGAAATTTTACCAGCCTAGTCCCAGGCTTTTCCGCGTGACTGGATAGGTTTTGAACCACGGGAGAAGGCCTATAGCGAAAAAATGCATCAACTTGGTCTTAGTCCTGAGTTCATAAAGTAACCTTACCCGAACTGCCAGTATATACATGATCATGTATATTTCCTTCCATATCGAAATATTTGTCTGTGAATATTTGTCTAGGCGGTAGCCATGCTTGCGCAATATAAAAAATGTACACTGAATTTGCATAGCTATAAGTAGAATCGTGCAAATGACGTAAAGCGTGTGATATATAGTGCCTGCAGTAAATCGTCTGGCCTTACTAGATTACAATCATCGGACGAGTATAGAATCGTATGACGTTAGGATAAATATGAGCTCAGAGCTCAATCGTTTAATACGAGCCTTTTGTAATACGTATTTGAAGTACGGTCGATAGTTAGTTCTTTTTATAGATTTAGAATAAACATTCAAGATATCACTGTTGAGGCCATTTGTTCAAAGAACGATATGTATATGTACAGCGTATATTATCCATTTGGTGCAAACATGAGGCAGTTGGCTGAAAAGTAAGAGCGCATTAGCAAATTTCCTGATCTAAGTTGGTAGGGCCGGTCTCTGTTATATAATATTCTAGATTCCCAAAGGAGATACGAAATGCATTTGATTAATATATTCATTCTGCTATATCTAAAAATCTCTATTCCTAAGTCAAAATCTTTCACTCGACTATTAAAGCTGAAGGTTTTTTCCGGGATCCTTTGAGTCCCCTCTTGCTTTCCCCGGTTTATTTTGTCCACCGGTTGTTCAAAGCTGGGTTAGGGTTAACCCTGGGTTTCAAATTTAACGCGCTGTTTTGGTTTGCATATATATATGCGTTTCCGTTTATTTCGACACTTCAGAAAATAAAACATCCGTTGATGTAGACAAGATTTCTGCAAGAATATTTCCATGTTTATAAACAAGATGCATGAGAAGATTGCTTTGATGTTTACCGTTAACCCACCGCCTTTTGCGCAGGTCTTTCTAAATATTGGGGGAGACTTTCAATTTCTAACCTGCGAACAGGCATACTCTGCCATGTCGCTGAGTGTTCAATGCGACATGGCAGAGCATGCCTGTCTGCAGGCCTATAGGTTAGAAATTGAACGGCCTCCCCAACATTTTTTTTATTATTAACTTTACAATCATATTATATAAAAAAATACAGATACGACTATGATTGAAGGATTGGTAAACAGAACTAGAATCCCATACTAAGTCCATCCATCTAACACTAAAATACGACATATTACGAACTACAAACTGGACAACGTAAATACTGATTTTACAGGCCTTTACACTATATAAAACATGCAAGAATAAATACATCACTATACTAAACACTACTGTGAAATTATTTGCGAGGTTCAAATTTGACCACCACGGCACCACCACCACTAGTTAGAAACCACTAATTACCACTGGCATGCAAACCAGGTCAGCGCGAGGTAGTGATAGCGGTAGTGGAAGTCAAAAGTGACTCCAGCCATTTTACCGAGATCAGACTTTAGTCCTTACAATACGTATTTTACAATATAAACATGCAAGACTACACTATCAAAATTATTTGCGAGGTTCAGATCGATTTGACCACCACCACCAGCATCACTAGTTGGAACCACTAACCCCTTACATGCAAACTAGGTCAGTCCGAGGTAGTGATGATGGTAGAGGAAGCCAAACCCGAAAACCTCGCTATTTAACACCATGCAGACCAGCTACGAGCAGCAGGTGATATTGTTTGAGCGACATTTCATGCAAATAGTTTTCTATTTAGAAAGGCCTGCGCAAAAGGCAGTAGGTTAACGGTAAACATCAAAGCAATCTTCAAAACATTTTGTTTATAAACATGGAAATATTTTCCCAGAAATCTTGTCTGCATCAACGGATGTTTTATTTTCAAAAGTGTTGAAATTGTTCTTAATTATTCCTGAGTCTCTTTTGGAGCCTGTAGGCTTTTTTTAATCTCAAAATTCTATCAATAAATTAATAACTTTGCCGACTATATCTCGAAATAATTTAGCAGTTCGCCTCATTAATATTCAGTACACGTCAGCATGTACAATCTGCGCATGCTCAGTTAAGATGAGCTACGTTAACCCTTGCAGAATTAAACTGACTGGTTTTCAAACAACCGGCCCCTGGCCAAATTTGCGCACAGCATCTCGTGTGAGCGCAATCTATACACTTGTTAAAAGATAAGCATTATAAAATCACGACTCTACGTAAAAAAAACGTTTCGTAAATCATAATGCACTGCTTGAAATATTGTGCTAATTTGGCTATTGTTATACAAAGTGATTTAGACAGCTGCAAATGCAAAGCTACTTTGAATGTGTTTTAATTTTTATTGCGTAGGAAAATTCGCAACGAAATTTCTAGATGCTCTATTATAGGTTTGGTTACGTATATGCAAACTTCAGAATTACGTAAAATATAAAAATTCGAAAATTGAATTTTCTGGCTTACAAGGCACTAAAATTAAATCTAGAAATGCCATCGAAAACTAAATAGTTCGATCTGTTCAAACTAAAGCCCACGGTTGAACGAAGTAATTACATGATGAGAAATGGCAATCACGTATTGCCGGTTAAATACCGGGAACATTTCAAGCTCTTGATATAACAAAATAAAGGTTTGAGTGTTGCAATTATGTTTTAACTGAAATAAAACTACATGATAGTGTTGGGAAAGCATTAAGAACAGCTAGCCTCTCATCCTCTTTGACCCGGGGCTAAAGCCATTAAGGTATACGGAGTGTTGCGCAGCCGTTCACTCTGGAGTCATCCCTTATTGATCCAGTATTCCAGTGTTATTACAGGAGGAAACATAAACCAACTTTATATATACTGGATAGCTCTATCAGTTCCAAATTATTCGCGCTAGAGCCTAGAGGTTCAGTAAGGATCATCTCTTATTGATCCAGTGTTCCTAAACTAAACTAACTTTATTTATACTAGATATCCAGTAAGGATCATCTCTTAATTGTTGATCCAGTGTTACTACAGGAGGAAACCTAAACTAAACAAACTATATTAAAACTAACTTTATTTATACTGGATAGCTCAATCAGTTCTAAACTGTTCTACCTAGAGGTCCAGTAAGGATCATAGTGTTACTACAAGAGGAAACCTAAACTAAACTTAGGTCATCGATTATCAGTCAAATGCTACTGAAGGAGAATGGCGGTGTTTGTTAGAAAGTCCTCTTCTCACATGTGACTGAGGGGAAATTATAACCAGACAATTGCGGCACATTGCAGGAATCATACCTCAGAGACGTGATGTTCTTTGTGTGGGAGAAGAAGGCCCACGCACATTAAACTTGCACTGATGAATTAAAAACTGGTGGTCTTTATCGTTTTCAGGACGTTTATAGATTGCTGTCACTTTCTAGAACTGTTTTATTATAGAATTTATGATTAATTTAGTACTCTGTTTACATTTACTTTATTGAAACGCAGATAAACGTTTGTATGCAGGTGAATCAATATGGACCTGACTCAATCTGACCTTAGATGGCATTAGTATGCATCGATCGTATCTGAATACGAAGAACGGACACTGCATGGCAAAGTCCCCTGATGACGTCACAAATATGTCAAAACAGTGAGTGACTGGATGAAAGATTTTCAAAACAATGAAAAGATAATGAAATATTCTGATCACTGGATCATGACTGGATGGCATGGAGAACAGTGGGATTTTCAAAACAATGAAAAGACAATGGAACATTCTCAACACTGGATCATGACTGGATGACATGAAGAATAGTGGGATTTTCAAAACAATGAAAAGACAATGGAACATTCTGATCACTGAATCATGACTGGATGGCATGGAGAACAGTGAGATTTTCAAAACAATGAAAAGACAATGGAACATTCTCAACACTGGATCATGACTGGATGGCATGGAGAATAGTGAGAATTTCAAAACAATGAAAAGACGATGGAACATTCTGATCACTGGATCGTGACTGGATGGCATGGAAAACAGCGAGAATTTCAAAACAATGAAAAGATGATGGAACATTCTGATCACTGGAACATGCCTATGTCACGAGCGTGAGTTAGGCATTTATTGCAACATCCAAGATGGCGACATCAAAACTTTAAAAAATTAGTTAGGCAATTATGCTAAGACGCTGACGATTTGGTCGTATTTGGCGACTTGGCGCCCAGTAATTTCAGCCCCTGAACAGTGATCGCCGATTTGCCATCGCTTTATCAGTTGCGTAATGAAGATTTTAATTATAGCATCTATAAATAAAATTTCTGGAACATGCTGTTCTAATCTATTGCATAGAACTATTGGCTTTAGAGTTATATGCACAGCTTGAATTCAGCTGCCTGCTCGCCAATAATAGATCTAGCACTAGTAGCACAATTGCAAAATATATTTTTGGACTATCTCAGCTTTCTCGAATAATAAAAGTATTGCCATCTGTGGACCATTAAGGCTTTATTACGCTTGTTTGATGCTAGATACCAGAAATGAAAACAGCTGGTCACAATCAGAGAGTACGCGAAATTTGGAGAGGATATTTTAAAAACTGTCAGGGCACTAGCGTCGTTTCTAAAAACAGAAATTCTCCAATCTTCAATAGGCATCTGTGCAAATAATATAGTGCCATACAGTTGAATCCTTAAATCACAAAAGATTTAAAGCAGTTTTACCGTATCCGAAATTTTGATTGATTATTTATTTTTTCTTTGCGTTGTAAAGCAATTTTTTTCATATCTAATTTGTTTCCCAAGTAAAACCTTTATTCCAACACTATTATTATTAGTACCGGTTTATTTATTAGTACCGGTTATTATTAGTATCGAAAGAGATAAGAGGCAACTAAAATAGAGCATTACTTGACGATCCTTGTTTTTGCCTGACTGAGAAAAAAAATGAAAATTTATGAAGTTGACTGTGAAGCTTGAGTAACTCAAGTATTTCATTCTGCTTTTGCAAATAATCCTGTCCTGTGAGTGGCTGGCCTTTCAGAAGTAAAATTTAGTCCAAATATAGAGTTCTGTGACCAGCTTTGTTTAGTCCAGTAATACGTGCAGGTCAGTGACTGGCTATTTTATTGTTGGCTTGCTATATAGTTAGTAGTAATAATACACGGGCCATTCCGAACTTCTTTTCGATCCTTTCGATTCTTTGCCATTTCCCTTGCCCTTGCCTTCCTCAAGATCCCCCGGTTTCAAGATTTTATCAATATCTATAACACTAGGCTCGTTTCCATGCCCCTTTGACTTCTGCTCGATCACTTGGCCAATCACTTCCCGGCGTGCACCGGTGTTGAGATTCTTATTAACAGTGAGATCGTTCCAAAACTGACAGGCGGAAAGAGGACCGCCTAGGGCGTCGAAAATTTTGGCTTCTTTCATGAGCGATTTCATGTTAGTTTTGCGCAAAGTTTTCGGACAAGCGGGCCGTTTGTCGCGTAGGCTATCGAGTTCGTAGTAATACTTTGAAAGTTGGCGACTGTATTTCTGTACATCTTTTTCCGATCCCAGAGATTTCTAAGAAAGTAAAATACTCGGTATAAAGTATATCGTATCAAGAGGATCCTGTTTCAGTGCTGGCTGGTGCATGACCTCGCGTGCACTCGTCTTCAATCTAATTCTTAGACCAGTACACAAAATAAACCAAAATAGTGCAACCTTTTCTAAAGACTTTCACACACAACATAAAAAATCAGTAAATATGAAATTTACTTCTTTTTTCCTTTCATAATTCAACATTTTATTTCATATTTCCTTCTATTTTGGATTTCCGTTTTTCTCTTCTAATATCCAAAATTTCCATAAATTAAAAAGGAAAAAATCTTTCGAAATGAAAACTCCGGGTTGGTACTTCATATCTGAATTGGAACTTCAAACTCATACTTACATCAAGTAAAACACCATACGCCCAATCAGCCCACATGACCATATATGGCGTCATGAGCTGAACCTCGAGTGGTTTCCCATCAATCTCTGCGATCAGGGTTATCCCTCGATAACCTGTGGCTGAATATCTCCCTGCTCGTGGGCACACACCAAAACATTTCACAATAGCGACGCCAAAACGCGTGCTATTTATAAAACGAAATTTTGCATCCACCAGCTAAAAAATACGAATGGAATATTAGAAACTAATGTTTGTGGTGTTATGCTGAGTGTCCCTCCACACCGGGGAAGCTGAAAAGTTTGCTTGGCCACGGTGGGAATTAAACCCGAAAGCTTTGCCGCTTTGGGATACTAGTCCAATGCTCTGCCAAATGAGCTACGAGGTCAAGTCGGTTCGAGTTCGTGATATTTCGAAACTGAGTCTATAGTTCCTTCGATATCAATGTATTTTAACGCCTGTATTCTAAAAGTTCACTCACGCTCACACTCAAAGAGTGGAGGTTCAATCTGAGCTTGCCTTGATTACGACACTAACCATCCAAATATTCAAAAACAGCACTGACACTCAAGAGAAGCTCAGATTGAACCTCCACTCTTTGAGTGTGAGTGAGCTTTTAGAATACGGGCGTAAGATATGATACCTACGATACCACTCAAAGAGTGGAGGTTCAATCTGAGCTTCCCTTGTGTGTCAGTGCTGTTTTTGAATAACTGGAGGGTGAGTAGTCACATAGTAAGGTACGAGACTAACCCTTCAGCTATTCAAAAACAGCACTGACACTCAAGCGAAGCTCAGATTGAACCTCCACTCTTTGAGTGTGAGCGTGAGTGAGCTTTTAGAATGCAGGCGTTCGACTGACTTTCCCGCTCTTCGAAACTCTCCCTAGTCCTTTTGAAAGTTAGTTCATCCCGGGCTTCGAATTTGGCTTCAACCAATCATAGGACTTGATCACTGGAGTTATCGTTCCAGTTTACCTATAGAGTTCACTGGTATGCACTCAGGTGCAGATATAACTAACAAACCAAAGGTCGCGGATGGACCAGCAAAACCAAAGGTCACGAGTTCGATTTCCACCGCGATCAAGCATGTCAGCTTGCCGGTGTGGAGCATTGAACTATAAATAAACTGGAGGGCTAACTGCTATGATGAAGGCCTATGATTTGACGAAGCCAAAATAGTTTTTCTGAGTTATGAGCAGAAATACTTGATCCCAAACGTCGGGCTATATATCAAATTGAAGCTATTGAAAATTGCTATTCGGTATGGAAATTTCAAGACTTCAGCGAAAAGAAAAATATTTAAAGAATACAAAAACAACTGCAAAACGGCAAATTATCGGTAATTATGTTTGTAGTTTTTCAATATTTCCCTTTTAGCTAAAGTCTTGAAATTTCTACACCAAATAGCGTTTTTCAATAGCTTCAGTTTGATATATAGCGCAACGTTCAGTGTTGAGTATTTCTGCTCATAACTCAGAAAAACTAAAATGCACTGGCTTCAATTTCCCCCCGAGTTAGCCTTCCAGTTTATTTATAGTTCAATGGTGTGGACACGCTCAGAGACAACATCACAAACATATATTATTATTGTAACTCACAACTTGTTGATAAACTGTTGAATTGCAGGACGATAACAAGTTGTTGAAACAACTTGTAACAAGTCTGTCGAGCTCAACAACCTTCAACTTGTAGCAGGTTGTCAACAAAGCCGTTGAGAACTTGTCAACAAGCTGGGAACAAGCAGTACGAACACATCCTGCAGCGGACAAGTTGATGGAACAGCATTGCTACAAGTCTGCTGCAGGTTTTTACAACTTGTGCGTTTTTATGTGTGTCAAATAGATACTTTATACTGGCCTGATGAACTGCGGGAAATGTCACTCTCCACGTAATTACGTCATAGAGATCCTTGACAGTCGTATTTCCATCATCGTCCAATTCTTGACTGATACTTTCCATGGGTCTCAAGCGACTTTCTATTAAACTTTCTTCACCAAACATCAGCACTAGTTCGCGCTTTGCAGCTTTATACGACGCCTCAAATTCTTTAACAAAAATTGACAACGCTTGAAGGCCCTTATCGTTGTATTGTTGATGCCATTTCCATTTGTGATCGATGCTCTGAAACTGCCAAGATGGCGCTAAAATGCTCTTTTGTAAAATTTCTCTTAATGTTGAAACTTTGTGCTTCGTGCAATTCGACGAAACAGCAACAAGGAGAATCGTATAAAGGATTCGTCTACGTATTACTGACATTTTTACTACTTAGCTGATCGCTGTAATCCGTTCGGGCGAGGTAACCTGTTGTATTTACACAGGTATTTCAATTTTGAGATTGTTACACCTGTTAGAAGATAATATAAACTGATCTTCGTGACTTTAAAAAGCTGGTTTACACTAGTAAAAAAAAGTTAGAGTTTCAGTGTGAACTGCTGATCTGAAAAGCTAGACTGGATTGAGTATCCTGTGAAGTGAATGAACCAATTTTGAAGCGTGAATATTGATGAGATGAGATTTTAAAGTCTGTCAAAATCTCTGCAAATCGCATTGCGATGTGTTTAAATTAGCTACATTATCAAGCAAAGTGTCTTTTCCTATATAACTTGAAAGATATACCCCCTTATTATAGGAAATTAACGAAGCACTTTATTAACGCTGATTTTAAAAATTCGCGTTAATTTAATTAATGTTAATTTATGTGATCGTTAATTTGAAGTATGTAATTTTCATTTATCGTTAGTTAAAAATACCTAGATTTGTTTTATATAACACTAACTCTATTAATATCAAAATACAGCATATTAACGTAATCTAAAAACATCAGTGCTCCTCTTAACATTAAACCTGTGTTGTTGTTGTGCCGATTCGCGTTAATTTAATTAATTTGTCAACCATAGAGATCAGATTCGCGTTAATATAATCATGTTTTAAAGAGAAATGGCAATATAGTTTTTTATTTTCTCGTTTGAAAGAACATTTAAAACCATATATACAACTCTTTTACCGTTTTTTCACATCAAATATTTTAATCGAAAGAAATGAAATGTTCGCCATCTTGGATTTTTGTAGATATGCCTGCCTCGTCCCCAGTCGCTTGCTATCAAATAATTAATTAGGAAAAGACGAAAATTAATGGGGGCGCGCGTAATGATGGGCTCGTCCTTATTTGCGGGCGTGCGCCTAAAGCGTGCGTCTTTATCGGGCTTGCAGTGCACGCGCTGATCTATATATTACCGATATTTAAATTTGATCTATATAGAGGAGCATGCGGAGGAGGCAGTAGATATGCAAGTTGCGTCACAACAGGGGTCACGCAATATACTCTGTATATGCCCTTCGAAATAGCAAGATCACTTGAACCTTTAAAACATCCACCAATCAATATTTGGTCAGCAACGAATGCTTTTATATGGTTAATCCCTGTTGTGACGTCACCGAAACTACCGTTAATGAGATCAAAAATTTATCCTGAGATGGCTGACATCTCATTACTTCAAGTGAAAATATTTCAAGAACTAAGCAAGATATGCAGAATAGGTAAATAGAGAATAATACATGGGTGCGCGGAAATACCAGATTTATTTCTCGTGTTGAACATGATATCTCACGAGTGAGCGCGAATGAGTGAGATATCATGTTCAACAACACGAGAAATAAATCTGGTATTTCCAAGCTCCCATGTATTTTTCTGTTTATTTTTAAACAAAATTCAGTGAAAAACAATAAAACGTCCGTGGCAATGCGTTTTACAACAAATTATATTTTCACGCGTAAAAATATCGTATTTTTTACTGTTAATAATTGTTTATAATGTATCGTATTTTATTGTTAATAAAGTGCATCGTTAATTTCCTATAATAAGGCAGCTTCCAACATCTCTTGTATAGTGAATTCTAGAACGTTTTGAACATTAAATAATGAGACTACCCTGTGGCAACCATTGGCAAGCGAGAGTTAATTTGCATGACAGTTTTCTCAACTCTAATGCCGCGGTCAAACGAGAATAATAAATAGTCAGGCAGATAGAAGGAAAAACTCAGCATATCGACGGGCAATTCCATTTTCCCTTCATCTTGTGCCCTGAAGGCTAGTAAGTACATTTCTGTATGTTGGCCGCGTTAAAATATCTTGTAGGCTTTAGCCGACACGTTTTTCTTCGAATTTTGTATTAAACTGGCTATTACGGTTAAAAAATGTAAAATTTCAGATACATTTCTAATACAAATGACTTGCATCAATAGAAAGCTAACAAAAAACTACATATAAGACATTTAAATGGTTGCCGCTGGGATTTTCAAGTAGTTTTCGAGTTATTGCTGTTTCAAATGTGAAAAATAAGCCAAAATATCGCAAAAATCCTGGGTACTTCTGAAAACACGCTTTCAACAGCTCATATAACTCAAGAAGAACTTGAAAAACCCTGCATGGTAGGTAAATAGTAGGTAAATGAGATTTCTAATATATGTTATGCTGTTATTTTGATATTTTACTGCTATAGTTTTGAGAACCAAACCGGCGTTGTTTTGCGCGACAAATCAGTTTGTCGAAAGAATTTATATTAACGAAAATGTTATGTATAATAAAACAGTCATTGAATTCGGTTTTTCCTCGTACCCAGGAGCTATGTGTTGTTCTATGGCTTGCGCGGCCTTTGCGTGGGCCGCGTGGATTAATTTGATCGATTTCCGTTTTTCTCCCTCGCGTGCCGTCACAGATGATAGATTGTACCAGATGTCTCACTGTGTATCTATCCCTATGATTTTCGTGTCCGCGATTTTCGCGAGGCTATCACGCCAGATGACGCGTGCGACACTCACTGCCAAAATGCGTGGTGCTCACGTTTCATGGCGTGGATTACACTTACTGCCAAAATGGCGGCCAACGCGTGCTCATAAAAATTGCGGACACCATTTTGGCTGAGTGAGACATCTGGTATAATCTATCATCTGTGGTGCCGTTCCACGTGCGCTTAATGACGTAAACAAATCAAAGCGCCTGGGTACGAGGCAGGTGATATCCCGAATGATCAAGGTCTTGGCAAGTGTTACCAATCTCGCCCTCGGCTCGACTGATAACGCTTACCTCGACCCTGATAATTCTGGATACCACAAAAACCTCATCCTACGACTGTTTATTATAATATCAGTCTCATCAACTCGCATGCAACTCTTGTTCTCGTTTGACCGGGAGGCATATTGAGAGTTGAGAAAACCTTCATGTAAACTCTCGCTTGTCAACCCTCAACAAGTCTCATTCTATAGTTTGATCAGGACTTTATGCAATGTCTGTTTACATGCAGTATGAATGTAAATTATTGGAAGCGAAATATCCAACTCAATAGAAAACTAATTTATTCCACATATACAACAATATGCTAAATTATTCAACCCAGCTTGTTAGTTCGGACATTAATTAATAATGACAAAAATTTTGCCTACAACAAACTACTCAATTATTACAGTAATCCTCACTATAATCTATATGTATATATTATACCAAGCGAAAGAAAAATTTTCTAGTAGTAATAACTATAGTAAACAAAACATTCTTGGAGCTTAGTTTGTGATCTTCTGCTGTAAGACCCTGTAAAGATCGACAATGCGACTATTTTGATAAATTATTCATCGGCATTGCCGAATTAAAAATCGTAAATTTATATTGGCAAAAGCAAACAAATTGGAGGGGGCCGTTTATACATATGGCTATATACGGTTTAGTTCGCGTTATATTTTGCATATGGAGTTCGTGTTATATTTTACGCAAATTTATATACACTTTTCAGAGCTGAAGCTGGAGTAATACGAGCAACAAAATTGCTGCAACTTGCAACAACAATTCCAGCTTTTAGTTTATGCGTGCAGGGGACGATGGGAAATAAGGTATCACATTGCTGATTATGCTGAAAAATAGAAATGGTGGCCTTGTAAACACGGAGTGATAGCTTATACTTGTAAATATTGAAATATTTCGGTTGTTTCGGTAGTTTTTATTGAAATTTTTCAGCATAATCAGCTGACTATGATTCCTTACTTCCCATCATCCCCTGCACGCATAAACTAAAAGCTGGAATTGCCTACTGAGAATGTTTACACATAAATTACAAATCACGAGGCAACATGTGTCAACATTTCTACTTAACATGCGTAGAATTTTTTTTGCAAGTTGCAGCAATTTTGTTGCCCGTATTACTCCACTTTAACCAGGAGCAGTTGCAAAGAATGCAACTGTAGCCAAAGGTCCTCAGAAAGGAATCGGACATGAAGCCCTGTAATTCCGGGTAGATTCCAGCCAGAGGGCGTAACATAGTTGCATTCCTGGTTGGGTGTAAACATTTAGCAATATATTTGTTCGCTCCTAAAGGCCTGATACCACGAGGCGGAATTTTTCGACCGAAACGAAATTTCTCTTTGTCTTTTTACAATTAGTTCTGCTCGAGAGCTCTGAAACAAAGAGAAATTTCGATTCGGTCGAAAAATTTCGCCTAGTGGAAAACCGCCTTAAGTTGACGTCTGCGTGTATGTATAGAACCATACAAATTGAAATCCACATAAGAAATTATAATTTTAACTTTAGGATATCATTGTGACTTTTGGATATAATTGTGACTTTTAGAAGTAATCGAGGCAAATATTTTGTTCCGAAAAAATTCATTGACAGCCTTTTCTTTTATAAAACAACATACCTACCTACCTACCTACTATTATATCTGAGCAAAATGTGCTAAATAGTAAAGCCATCAGTTTGTCTACTAGACAAGCAAACCTAGCGCTTGTCCATGGTATAAAGCATGCAGGTCGCTCATATTTAACAAATAATTTAAATACAAAGTTCGCGATATTTAATCCATATCTTCAACCATATTATTCACTTCGTTAATTTCCGCAGTAACATCGGCAGTTTTATTTCCCCAATTTTTGATATCCGCTTCGAGCCCAGTAATAATACGTTCTAGACGAGCTGCATCGCGCTCCCCTGCTTCAGCTTTGATTAACACTTCCTTGTATTGCTCCGTAAGAAACGCCAATTTTTCCTCGTTGAGTGTGTCGCGTTCGCTTTGATCGTCCTCACGGGCCTCCAAATCCTTAATCTGGGCCGACGCGTTGTTTATAGCTTTCATGAGATGCTCAATGCGTGAAGAATTCTCCTGAAAGCGGCTGTCCGCTTTCTCCACATCGTTCAAAAGCACGACTTCTTTTCGTTTCGCTTCGCGCCATTGCGTGTCGTAGGTTTCGACCTCGACTTGTCCGCGTTTAATTTCGTCCGATAAAGTTCCTAATCTCTCATCGCCTTCGACTTCATGATCCTCGAGACTTTTTACCGCTATTTCGTGTTCGGCTGTTTTGGATTCCAAGGTATTTAACCGTTCTTGCCTCTCTGCTAGCCGTTCGTTAGTTTTAGTGACTTCGCCTCGGAGAATCTTTAGCCGCCGTCTAAACGAGTTTGTCTCGCTTTCTGCCGATTCCAAGCGAACATTCGCTTCGTTGAGAAGTGCTTTTGATTCGCTTTCTCGTTTCTCACAAGCTTCGATGTCTTCTTTCAATTTATTAATCCTTGCTTTAACTTTTTCCATCTTTAAAAGGACTAGTCTTGTTTCAAATGAAATCTGGTGTTGAGAGTTTAAAGCGAACTTTTCACAAACTGTCTGGCTGCGGGATAGTCCAAACAAAGCGCTAAAGGCAAGGCAGCTCGCTTGGCGACAGAATTATGTAAAATATCAGAATAAATTACTTCTTTTCATTGTCCACCGCATTACGCTGTCAAAACGAGTGTCAAAATGCATAATTTACGACAAAAATTATTGCAAAATATTTGCATAATGTAAAGAATGGTTATAATAAAAATTTTATGGAATTTTAAGATTTTAAACTTAAGATATAGTTTACGTTTTAGGCAGCAATTAAAAAAGATGTTATGTCTATGTCAAAACGCCTGTAATATTAAACTCTCCTAAAATAAGTTTTGTAATTTACTGAGATGGGTGTTATGCCGGTTTTCCACTTGCGAATTTTTTCGCATGGAAGCGAATTTATCATTTGTCTTTTGGTCTTTCAAGTGAAACCATCTGGATATAATTGGATAAAGACAAAAGAAAAATTCGCTTCGCGCGAAAAAATTCGCGAGTGGAAAACCGGCGGCTTTATATAGCTTTGTTTTTATATGACTTTGTTTATGTGACTTCGTTTTTGGCTTTATATAAATTTGTTTTTTGGAAGATATTTTATCATTTTAATATTCTGCATAAAAGGTGATTTTCACAGCTGTTTGGTTAGGTTAAAAATGTATAAAAATTTATACTCGAGATGTTGATCAACGAAAACCCTTCATTAGCCGAATTCATATTAGAGACGGGAAACTCGTCTTAGACGGGAAACTCGTCTCAGACGAGAAACTCGTCTAATATGAATCCGGGCGCAGACGAGTTTCCCGTCTGAACTTTCCCGTCTAACTTACCCGTCTAAACAGACGGGAAAGTTAGACGGGAATCTCGTCTAGACGGGAAACTCGTCTTAAATTCGAATTTACCTGAATTTAGGGAAATTCATACTCAGACGGGTTTTCGCAGACGAGTTTCCCGTCCCTAATATGAATTGGGCTATTGCTTCAACCACAGGAGGCCCAGGCTCGATTTGCCCGCGCCCGCCTGTGCCTTCCTTATAACGAGGGAAGGAAGGAAACATTGAGACCAAAATAGCCCAGACTTGGCATATGTCACACGAAACTATCCTCGATTTTTCGCCTTTAATGCATTTCTTTCACGATTAATCGACATCCCCTGCAAGAATGATACTGTATAACTCTCAAAACAACGATGCTTTAATCAAAGAGCTTAAATTCGCTCTGAAATCCGTGAGGGAATAACAAAATTCGGCCAAAATATATCCGCGTGCCGGCCGGTTTGCTGGACAAAAAGCGGAAGTCGTTGAACAACTCAAAATACACTCAACCCTGATTGGACGACGAATATCAACAAACATTTCAAATTTTCAGTAGTCAGTAATGTCACAGATGAGGTAGATACAGATGTGAATCTTCCGTCAAATTGCTGATTGTTTTGTGTCACACGGAATTCTCACTTCCGGCATAGAATAAAGACATACAGAAGTGTATCTTCTTATTAAAAGTGCGTAAGGGATTTTTTCAGTCCGCCATGTTCTTAGCAAGTGCCCTAAAGAGAGGCAGTCACCCCCCCTGAAAACATGTTAATATTCCAGGGGGGTGAATGCCTCTCTTTAGGGCACTTGCTAAGAACATGGCCGCCAGCTATTTCGGTAAAAAAGGCCTTACGGTTTTGTAATGGAAGTTACACTTCTGTATGTCTTTATTCTGTGCTTCCGGCGAGCGCTGGCAAGTGTCGTTCTGAAATTTAATAAGGAAAGAGATAGGAAAACGCCGTTCGAAAGACGAAAAATTGTTTTTTTTAAAAATCTACGCTACCGACGGCTATTTTTGGAATTAATTCTTCAAGAGTATCGGTAAGCGATCACTTTTATTGATTTCTTTTTATTAAAAGTGTTAACATAACATTTTATTTAGCAAAAGTTTGTTTTTTTCCCTATCTATTCCTTATTAAAATCGTGAAATACACTTGCTGGGAATTTCAGATGCTCATGTATAATGGGCTATTACATTTAATATCCGTACCCCCCCTGTCGAGGACCTGATTTTCCAAGGGGGAAATTAGTCATTTTTTCCAGAGGGGTAATTGGGAAAAATGGAAGAAAAATGCTCTTTCCAGAGGGGTTAAAAAGCAAAAAAGCACTTCCAGAGGGGGTTCAAGTCTCTTCCAGAGGGGTCAATTACACAGATTTTTTTTCATTCCAGAGGGGTAAAAATCCTCAAAAGCAGAGGTCCTCGACAGGGGGGGTTTGGTTTTTTAATGTAATAGCCCAATAACAAAACAGCGAATGATATAAATTCCTCAAAACATAACTCTGGCATAAAAAAAACATGAATACTTCTATAATATGTATAGTTTTATTTCTCTGCATTATCAAAATTTAATAAAATAGTGAATTAATACAATTTTAAAGTTTATTTAATCGGTGTGACATAATTTGCCGTGAGATTCACATCTGTATCTACCTCATCTGTGGTAATGTCATAGATTAACTAAGTTTATCAAGCCTCCTATGCCCCCAATGTAACTCGATGTCAAGTAATGAGTTACACAATTATGAATAATGCTTTAAAACTGTCAGAAAATAATTTAGTATACTATGAGGAATCAGTATATGAAATAAAATTTACGGCTCACCAATGTCGTTTACAAGTTAAATTATTTGAAAGCCAAAATATCCGCCATATTGAAACGTCATTGTTGCCATAGCAACAGCTTTGTGCAACTTTTGTGAAAAATTTCCAAATCTTTAGATGTTGTTTTACATCTTTAAGATGCTTTTTCTTTGCATCTAAATTGCAAATTTTCCATTTTTAATAAACTATATCGAGCAACCTTTATAACTAATTTTCCCAGCAGCCAAAATCTTATCTCAATCCCACTCATTCAATCGACTGTTTTCACAATATCTATTATCGGCAGCAAAATTTCTTAGTGTAACGTGATGTCAACCCGTGTGACTGCAAGAATAAAGGCGGATTTCCAGTCCTCGCACAAAGCTCCTCGCAGCGAGTGATGCATGAGCACTTTTTAATTAGATGCAAGCGAGGAGCTTCATGCGAGGACTGGAAATCCACCTTATGACTTGAATGATCATAGCAAGTGTCAAAACTTAAATATTTTATGTAATTGTACACAACAGTGTATCAAGTTATATCTTAATAAAGGACAACAATATTTTCTCGCCATCTTTGGATGAAATTTGAATTCCATCCTCAAAATTCATCGAACATGTCAGCAATAGGCTATTACATTTAAAAACCAAACCCCCCTGTCAAGGACCTCGATTTCCAAGGGGGTAATAGCCCAATGGCAATGATGCATAATTTTGAATTTTCGAAAACTTGCACACAGACTAAGAATAAACCAATCTCGTTCCCCGAGCCTGCGATCCTTGGGAAGGAACGCGAGGCCCTTGGGCGTGGATAATCTGTTGCCGGAAGCCAGGAATCCTGGCTAAGATTGAAGAGGGGGGTAATGGGGTATTTTCGTGCTCTGTATTGGGGTAATTTAATTATTCGTTCTTCGTTCAGTCATCTTTTTATTAAACGTTTTTCGATCCCGACATGGATGCCGTGTATCGTGCTTGCGGTGTATTCAATATCCGTTCTCCGTTTTCAGCAGTATTTAAGACAGTTATTTCTCGTTTCTGGATAATATATTCCATTAATTTTGTTTCTGGATTTTAGCTATGTTTTGATTGGGGAACGCAGGTTTCAAATTTTATAAATCACGAACATCGACGCAATTGTAAACAAATAGGTGAACACACCGCCCAGTATGGACTGTTTATATTCACTTTTAAGACCTCTAGACCTTCAGATTCGTAATAAATTTGTTATTTTACGTGCTTCAGGACTTCCTTCTTTTATTTTTCATGTTTCAAGATCGCTGCATATTATTTCTTGTGCTTCAGGATTGGTACCCCCCATTACCCCCCTCATTGAACTATGCATTCCATATCAACAGCCAATCAGATTCCTCCCTGAAACGGATTTAGATTATCCCAGAGCCTCGCGTTCCTTCCCGAGGATCGCAGGCTCGGGGAACAAGATTGATAATAAACTAGCTGACCATGCAGTTTATATTTGGTAAATTTTCAATACACTAGAGTCTAGACAAAAGCATAAACATTTTAATTAACAAGATATTGCATACAAAAATTATGAAAACATATCTTACCTTTACAACATACCAGTTAAATGGCGGGCCTTTTGGCGGCTTCTTTTGCATTGACATTGTTCTGTTCTTGCCGAGTTTTCCTTCACTTTTAGGTATACTTGGCCTTGGGCGATAGTAGTGATTTATAAATATGTAAATATATTTCTTTTGGCGAAGGTAATAGTGAAAATAACTATAAATTTCCACCAAAAACATACGAAGTATATTAATTTTCACTTTTTTAAAACCACGTTGTGCGCATTAAAGGTCAAAGATCATTTAAACGCCGAGGAAATCTGGGGAGACTTTTCCAGCTTCCACTTACAGTAAATGAATTTTTTAATCTTTCATAATAAATTTTACGAAAAATAATGTAAACTACCAAATTTAAAATTCAGGGCCGTAGCAACCGGGGGGGGCTGAGGGGGCTACAGCCCCCCCCAATAATTTGCTAATAATCATTCTTTTTTCAAAATAATGCAAACTTTATCATTTAATCTGTGACAAACTGCAAAGAATGAAGATATTACTCATACTCCAGATCGTTCCTCGCGTAGAAATTTTAGCTGAATTTCTGTCGCGCATTTTCAAGAAAATCCCACAAAATCTGCACATTTTTGATGAACTAATGATTTATTTTGTCTTTTGCGTGTTGGGTCTTGCGAAAGAAAACTCTGAAAATGTCATTTCAGACCATCTAGAGACTCCAGATTTTCGAAATTTTCTCAAATGTTCTGCCTTCATTTCCGCGCAACTGCCATTTACGACGAAAATTCCCGCCGCGCATTTATAATACTACAGTCTGGCCCATACTTTCCTGTAAATTTCGACATACTAAAACGCTGTTTTCTGACTATCAGAATTCTGTTAAATCTTCCCCCAAAGTCCAGGAAATGGCATTTTAGAGACTCTAAATTTAAAAATTTCCTCGGGCCTTCGGCCCTCGCTTTCAGCCCCCCCAATCGAAAAGAGCTTCCTACGGCCCTGAAATTAATATCAAATTTTACGTTCTAGACTAGAATTTAAACCCTAAATAAAACATTCGAACAAAAGAATGCATTCTTTGTAGATATAATGCAAATTTAATGCAAGATTACTTGAGTGTGAAAAGTGAAAATTTACAGTGATGAGAAAAACCTTTTGTATTTATATTTGTAAAATATTATTTATACACTTCTATTTTATTATTTCATTGGAATTTTTGTATTATTGAAGGATTATATTGCTATACTACACAATTAACAAAAATGGCTTTAAATTTAGTTGTTATTCGCTATTTTTTTTAAATGAAACTAAATTTATAAAGTGAAACTTTGCAATTATGAATCTCATTAGTGGAAACACAATTTGTTTACAACGCCATGTGCGTGCGCAACTGAATTTCCTTCGAATTGACAAATTCAAATTCGAAGACAGGCACTTTTTTGTTGAAAAAATGTTCTGTTTTAATCGAATATATACCTTCCAGGCAAGTTCTGTACTTCGTATTAAATGCACAAGTATATTTCTGATCCGTGGAGCTCGAAAATCACAGCAAGCGCCTCGAAATGAAGACACAGAGTGACAGAGAGATATTTACTCGACCAATTTCAGGTGGCAAAAAGATCCGCAAGGCTTTTATCCAAAGTGTGTACCGTATCTGACATCGCAGAGAGAGAACAGTACTTTAAATCGATAGGGCTAACACAAGAGCATATTGGGTTGGTTTTTAAAAAATGTCCAAGGGCGATTATGACTTGTCAAGTGGCAGAAATGGAGAAGAATGTTAATTTTTTGTCAGGATATACAACACAATTTAGAGATCCTAATGTCTTGATATCCCATCTTATACCTCAGTATCCTAAACTGCTGTTCCGTCCCATCGACGTGATGGAAAAGCGTATTCGGCTCTTGGAGAAATGTATAAACCTTAACAAAGAGGAAATTGCTAAAGTTCTAAGGTATTCCAGGGTGCATTCCGTGTAAACCTCACGCCGAAGATAATCTGAGGTAGTGTTACCGTGCGCCAAGTGAATTCATGTCTCGCTAATAGGGTTAGCGTTTAGGGTTAGGTTTAGGGTGGGGATTAGGGTTAGCATTATAAATAGCGAGACATGAATGGGTTAGGTTAAAACGCGGATGCGGAACGGAACGGATGCGGAACGGATATGGGGTTAAAATGCGGAACGGAACGGATATGCGGAACGGAACGGATATGGAGTTAAAATGCGGAACGGAACGGATATGGGGTTAAAATGCGGAACGGAACGGATATGGGGTTAAAATGCGGAACATGAAAAATCATGTCTGTTTTTAAAAAACGATTTATTCCCGTTCCATTCCGCGTTTTAACCCCATATCCGTTCCGCATTTTAACCCCATATCCGTTCCGTTCCGCATTATAACCCCATATCCGTTCCGTTCCGCATATCCGTTCCGTTCCGCATTTCAACCCCATATCCGTTCCGCATATCCGTTCCGTTCCGCATTTTAACCCCATATCCGTTCTGTTCCGCATATCCGTTCCGTTCCGCATTTTAACCCATATCCGTTCCGTTCCGCATATCCGTTCCGCATCCGCTTCCGCGTTTTAACCTAACCCAGACATGAATCTATAACCCCAAGTGAGGTCAACTTATGCGCCGGCTGATCGCGGGCACCATGATTTTTCATTAATAGTTAGTTGCTTAAAATTTAAACTTGCTAAAAAGGCGTGTAACTGATGAATAAAATGTTTTGCTGATGAGCAATGATGAGTGTTGTTACTGTTGTATCACAAGTTAACCTCACTCACTCAGCAGTGGCGGAAACTTTTTTTTTTTTTTTTTTTTTTTTTTTGGGGGGGGGGGGGCGAGTGCCGAAGGCACGAAATTTGTAGGGGACGTGCCCCCCAGAAAATTTTTAAAATTTGGATCCCTGAAATGGCATTTGTAGCATTCTGAGAGCACATTTTGTAAGAAATTCCAGGTTTTCAAAACATTAGTTAATGGTGCATTCTGGTATAAATCATGTGCTAAGCATAAAAAAAACGACGTTTCAGAGAAAATATTGTACATGATTTCAAAAAATACATTTGTGAATATAATGGAATTGCAAGGTGGTTTAAGTTAATTAATAACCAATGACAATATAAAATTTATTTGCTAAGGGCGTGACCTCGGAAACGTTAAATCAAAATCCGCTGTATCAAAATTTCATCAGTCTATGCGCAGTTCTATTGTTGATTATTGAACAGTCCTACTACCTTATAAGGTAATAATGAGATTTTTATTGCACAAACGACACCATAGCAACGTCAATCGACCTGCCTAGAAGCGTTATCACACAACTGTTGCAACGACTGCGGTAACCTGAACTTGCAGTACGTAATACTAATATTTAAACCAGAGAAGTGAAAGAACACCTGAAAATTCCTACCTATAGATACTGTATAGTCCGTTGTAAATTTGATACAATTAATTGCTATTGTTTTATGAACACTCGGATGATACTCTATATGATATATGCATGTATATCATAAATTTAGAGCCTATATACTGACGTAACTGGACACGATTATGGTTACATCATATGATAGATTCCTGTTTCAGAAAAATTGTCACTGCGTGCTGATTTTTTAGTTACGTTCCTCAAATTTGGTACATGCAATGACAACTAACTGTAGAAGCCACTGTTTTAGCCAAAATTCACCACCTTTTAACCTGTAGTCGCAAAACTAATTTAATTTGACTTTTTTCAGAATTCATAACGCTCATTGTGTCACTTGTCAGATTATAAATTTAGAATACTTTAGCTTGTTTTTAGCTTGTTTTTATTAAAACTTGCCATTTCGTTGCTCTTGTTATTGTAACAAATAGTGCTTCCTTATATTTTGCTTTCATTTTTCAAATTGAAATCTAGCTAAACATAATTCTAGTAAAATGTTTGGGGGGAGCGATTGCCCCCCCCCCTCCCTTGCCCCCCTAGTTTCCGTCACTTGTAACCACCATTTAGCTATAGTATTACAACCAGGAACACAAATTTCTCGAGTCCCTAAAGAATCATAGAGGCCAATCCAATCACCAGGCGATTATTAATACTCAAAGTCTCGCTTAAACATTCGATGCGCGCCAACCACCAAAACTGAAAACTTGTGCGCCAACCTCGACGTGATTGTGCGCCAGCAATTCATAACTCACGCCGAAGATCTTCCGCGAAACGTGCATGGAATGCACCCTGGAAGGTATTAAGCTTCGGATACACGAGCAATATTTTTACTGCGATGGTTACGCAATGGGTGATAACAGCATTGGGTTGCCGTCGCAAAAGGTGGCTACACCTGCAATATTTCACCTGCAATATATGTCTTCATAACGCTTTTCATTGGCTGGTCAAGAAACGTGTCATTCATCAACCTTGACCTTCCTTGACCACACCTCCCAATTTTCGGCAATCATTGCCGAAAATCAAATGATTTGAAATTTCGGCAACGATTGCGCAGAGCTTTGTGTTGCCGTCACAGAGCATGATACACAAGCAATTTCTTTCTCACGACGGCAATGCAACGATTTTACCACCATTGCATTGCCATCGCCAGAAAAGTATTGCCCGTATATCCGTAGCTTTAACGAGCCAACATCAATAATGATTAACCCACTAATCAGACTATCCATGTGTCTTGTTAACCCTTTAACTGGACCCCACTTTATTATTTTACTCTATCTAATGCCAGATAATTTCACTCGTCCAGCAGAGAGTAATTATTTCACATCTCTTTAGATATAATCCCATGACCATCTTAACGAGATTGGAAGATACTTTTGATGACCTCGTTAAATATTTAAAAGACTGTGGTCTTTCAGATAAAACGATTCACACATTCTTTACCAAACAGCCAAGATCAATTACTTACTGTTGGGAGGCGATCGAAAAACGTGTAAGATTCTTCATGGACAAATTAGGGTACACAAGGGAACGAATTATTGAAGTCTTCACAAACAATCCTAAGGTTTTCACAGCAAATGTCGAAAGAATGCGCAAGCAAAGTGACTTCATTAAGAAAGACATGGGCTTAACGAACCAGTCGTTAATTAGGTCACCGCTTGTTTTGCTGTACTCGTTAGAACAACTTCAGTGGAGATACTATTATCTATGTCAGATTGGGTATAAAATCACAGACGATACACATTTATTGGACACCTTCTATCAGGCAGATGAACTGTTCGCAAAGTACATTGCAAAACGTCCAGTGGATGAAATTTTAGCATTTAAGGATGACTTTTATGAAAATCTTAATCCAGTGAGTGATGATTCAAATATAGTAGGCAATACTGTACAATGTTGATTAAAAATGTTTTAATAACATACATTTAATGTTTGTAAATAATTTCCAAAATAATAGAACTTACCAATTTATTCTCTTTTACCCAATGGCCTCATTTCCATGTTAACTTATTTTAGCATACATGTCAGAGGCAGATAAAAATTATATTCCCACGTTTTCCTGGACGAATTTGTTTCTTGCTGTTCTTAAGCTCAATAACAAAGTAATTTTTAACCCTACTAAGCACAAAACAGGAGTATAAAGTATTTGACACAGAAACGAGGCCATTGGGTGAAAAGTGAATAAACGGTAAGGTCTATTGTACAACATTTATGTTGCTTGTAATAATTATAGTGAGAATCCAAAGTCAATAGACCTTATTTTATAACACATATTTATGCTTGTTGCTACACTATACACTCACAGATATAATTTAAATGCTTTGTTCGTTCCATTCTATGTCATGAACAGGGTTTGAGATTAGAATTTTTTTGTCAAAACCTCGGGTATCAAAGCAGAAAATCTGGTGTCCAAATTCTCAAAATAATACAAGTTCAAGTCTATATGCTGAGTTGCTATAACAAATACACCCTGATTGAGTTAAATTCACTAAATCCATTACCTAATGATTAGAATTCGATGTTAACCACACCATTAACCAGCTTTTACAGGACCGTCTGACAAAATATCTGATGACTTTGAGTTGGACATGTGTATGATGATGTCTGATGACCTTCAGTTTGGGTCGAAAATAGGTCTGAATGAGAACACTTTTGCTTGGGCCTGACAAATGTCCGGTTATTAACAGTTATTTGCTTACCAAAATTTACTAATGTGATTTATCATGTGGGAAGTGATCAGCAGGTCTCGTGTAAATATTGAAAAGCTGGCCGGACATTAATGTCAGACCCAAACAAAATTTTTATAATTAAATTCACACTCCATCCCCTCAGTCACTATTCTGTGCCTCAGTGGTAACTAAGCATTTGATATACATTAGACTACAACATATAACAAAAAATAATTTAACATTTCTCACTTTATGCAGGTTGACCATCTGCCACACGACAGTGCTTGTTGAAACAATCTAAGCTACTTACCTATATTTCCTAAATCTTCTGAAACCAATGAAGTTTCTTTAGAAATTTGAAAATATATTTCTCTTCATTTTTTGTCTCTGGGTTTGTTTTCATTTCTTGCTCAATTGCTTTCAACATCAACTCCTTTTCGGCCCCTTGTGCTGCTGCTACAACACTTTTACCTTTGTACCTGTCGATAACGTCTGTCAAACTGAATTCTTGAGTGTATGTATAACTGGTGACATCTGCCCCCTCGTTAACAAATCCACCATGATCTCGTAAAGGTATAAGCGCCTTCTCATCATAAGTATTAATTCCAAATTTAAGTGCTTCATATTTTGGGTCAAGCATTTCCTCAATATTTTTTATCCATGACACGGAACGGTCGGGTAGATACCATATGAGTCCTAGCATCGCTTTTGGCTTTAGGACTCTGTGAATTTCCTCAATGGCTTTTTGGTCTTTATAAAACCAGTGAAAACTCGTGGCAGCCAGAATACAATCCACAGAATTGTTGGTCAAACCTGCAACATCATTTAAATTGTGCATTAACCCTTAATGTGTAACACTTTCCCTTGAAGAGTAAAATAGTCTGGAGTTGGACAGTTAAAATGACAAGGTCTGGAGTTAGACAGCTAAAATGACAAGGTAGGGTCACAACAGCTTGGACTAATTTAACAGGTTAATTTCACCCGGGACTGCATAACTAAAATGTGAGCATTATAAAAGGGCAAGTTAAATTGGAGAGTTGATATTTTGAAGAGTTAAATTTGAAGTACGCCCACTTTTTCCAATGACCACACCCAATTTCTTGGGCTTTCTTTCAACTAACATGGCATTTTAAACGGGCCCGTTTACACTTGCGATTTTTTTCTTCCAATGCATATGAAGAAGTAGATAAGTAATGAATGTTCTGAGTATATGTACCTCATCTCAACATTCATAACACATCCATCAGAAGAAAATCGCACAAAAATCACAGCAAAAACTGCAAGTGTAAACAGGCCTTTAATTTAAAATAATAATCAGACTTAACTCATGCCTCGCTTCCCAACCACAACAACAGAGAGTTACGAAAACATAGACTCTCCCATGTTAGTTGAAAGAGAGTTAAAAAATTGGGTGTGGTTGTTGGAAAAAATGGGTGTGGCAGTGGCTCAAACTTAGCTTTCCGAAATCTTACCTCAAGACAATTTTATTCATCAAGGGGAGAGTGCTGGAACTCGATGGGTTAATTTACAATAATTCACACACATTTTAAGGTTTCATGTAACATTTTAAATGTTTCACTTTTTATGCAATATAATCTAAATATAAAATGAAGATATGTACCGGTAATTCTTGAGTATAAATACAAAAATATAATTGCAGTTTTAACCTTGTTCAAATATTTAATTTGTCTCTGTGTCACTAAATTTTGTCCATGTAAAATTAAATTTTCTGAAACCAATGCATTTTTATAACAAATTCATAAGTATATATCTGTTTATCTTTTGTATCTGAATTCGTTTTCATTTCTTCTTCGATTGCCAGTAAAAGTCGCTCTTTTTCTTTATCGGGTGCGGCTGACACTACACTATTTCCTTCGTATCGCTGGATAATTCCATCAAAATCCAACTCCATATTGTATTTATAAGTTGTTTCGTCCATAGCCTCGTTTGCAAACCCGTCATGATTACGCAGACGTACGAACATGATCTGATTGTCCGGACGTGGGATATTAATGTCCTCAAATTTTGGGTCGAGCCACTCTTCGATTGTTTTAATCCATGAAACCGAGCGGTCGGGCAAATTCCAAATTATTCCCAGGGTGCCTTTTGGTTTCAGAATTCTGTGGATTTCGTCGAGTGCTTTCGGGTCCATACCAAACCAGTGAAAACACTGTGCCGCTAAAATAGTATCTGCACAATTGCTAGGCAGACCTGTCAATACAAATGGTATGTAATAACAGCAGTTGAACATCCGTACGAAAATGTTAGAATTTTTAAAAAGATATTTAATAATTTGTTAACCCATCGAGTGCCATTGCTCTCCTGGCCTGCGTAGAAGACGGTATTAGCGGGCAAGTTAACGGAGCGAAGATACCCTCCCCTTGACTTTCTGGCAAAAACATCTGGCATAAAACCGTTGGGCATTAGACAGAGTAAAAACCTAAGTTGGGCACAACAAGACTTAAACAATAGGAATCTTACAGAAGGTTGACTCAGCCAAAAAGCATAACCGCTGCTACAGTACGTCATGATTCGGCATCAAAATGCACTCTCCATGTTCCTAGCTGGTGCGCTTATGAGAGGCATTCACCCCCCTGAACATCATCCCATTTTGAATAATTTCAGGGGGGTGGATGCCACTCATAAGCACACCGGCTACGAACATAGCCACAGCATTGCAATGGTTACGTCAAAATCATAGGCAAAACCGGGAAGTCGATCTTCTGTAAGGGTCCTATTCTGTTATAAGTATTCAGTGATTACTTGGGTATGGTAAAGTGTGCTGGTATAACTGAGTTATACAGAGTGGAAATCTTAAATTTCCATTTTCTGTATAAACTCAGCTATACCATGCATAGCATATATGGTACATACCTTCCAAATCACTAGCAGGACATTGTAATATCTCGACATTTGGCACCATTTCTTTAAATTTTTCACACATCTCTCTGAGCGGTTCCGTTGCAATGATCTTAAAATTCTTCACAGCATGTTTTTCGAACACTTTCAACACAGCTCTTGTAAATTTTCCAGTCCCTGCCCCTAACTCGACAATCGTGAAAGGTTCAGGCCCCAAATGAGGCTTTAAAGCACCCACTTTTTCCAATAGAAACTCTACTGAGTCGAGGTTATAGTCAGGGCGAGTTTTCTCGTAAATATTTGAAACGCCAGGGTTCGACCAACCTCTTGCTGCTTCGCTGACAGACTCCATTTTTGAGAGGTGAAAATTCCGTAATTTTAAACCAAATTGATTGAGGTTTGAAGTTAAAATAGGTGTAGATAGCTTGCTTTTTAATATGGAAAGTTTAGAAAGCCTGTATATCATAACAAGGACGTTTAAAACAAATTTATGTTTACATCAAGTTGACACAGTCACACAGAACTGTTGGACACGTCAAAATAAAAATTTGTTGCGTAATTAGCATTGAGTGTTTCCACTCTTATGAAATGCGTTTTCTTTTTTCGGAAATATTGGGCATGAAGATTCAGCTTTTCCCCAATTTTTTTTTTTCTCCCCCAAACCCAGAGAGCCTGCCACACAGGCTAGCTTTATACCTAAAATGATCATGTTTTGGGATCGGCTTTCAGAAACAAATCAGAAACAAAAACGATCATTGTTCGTGACTCTCTAGTTTTATTGCCTTTCATTGTTTATAAATTATAATCAACCAACCATGAACCTGGATAGTATAGCCATAGGTAGATGATGACCCTAGGATTTTCAAAACAATGAATCCAGTCAATGGATCATGAACGCCCGTCACCGTTGTTTATATGCATTGCTAAGTCCCATGGCTAATTCAATCATCCTAGTCGATTTGCAATAAAACCTCAAAATTTAGATGAAATATAATAGTCTTGAAATAAAAACATGCAGATACGCCGAAGCAGGGAATTTATATCCAGGAAATTTGATATGAAGACACGGAGTGAATTTCTGCGCGTATACCGTGGGAGATTGCAGGCTTTGCGACTTTTGAAAAACTTCTGGGTTTTCGATAAATATGTATTTTTAATTGCATGTGATAGTTGGACTATAAAAAAAGAGATAGTTCTTCGATCAGTGGTAATCGCCTGCGTATAAACAAAGAAATAGACCATCCGTCAAGACGAACTACACACGCAAAAATCTCGCATCTTGTAGCAAGTCTGCCAACAAGTTGTGTTCGCACTGCTTGTCCCAAGTTGTCAACAAGCTGTTAACAACTTGTAACAACCTTGTTGATATTATCAGACTTGTTGTAAGGTTGTTCCAACAAGTCCAATACAGTCATGATATAACAATATTGTTACAACCTAATGTGTAATTGTCAACCTTGTAACATTCTTATTATATCATGACTGTATCAGACTTTTTGGAACAACGTTGTAACGCCACCAAGCTTGTCGCAAGTTGTTAACAGCTTGTTCCAAACTTGTTACAACAACTAGGAACAATCAGTGCGAACACAACTTGTCAACAGATTTGTAACATAATGATAACTGCAGACGAAGGGCCCTACCAACGAAAGCTTGTTCATATTATTCTTTAATCTGATACTCCTAAATCAGCTTAAACTATACCAGGAGAAAGTATTATAATTATTGTTGGCACTACTGACAGTTCAAAATTATACCCTAAGCCTATAAGGACATTTTTTTGGCTATATAGGGGCATTACAGATTAAATTATCAAACTTAACTCTCCCCATTGCAAGAATAGATTGCGTTATATTCTAACTAGTTCGTTTGGATAGTTCTTGTTTTCTCTTCTTTTTCTCTCTAGTAAATATATATATATTCCTTTAATATTGTGATTGACTGTAAATAACTTACTACATAATATAATACAAACTAGCATAACTAGAGATCTAAATAAAAAGTCTACGAAGATTTCTAGTAGGTCTCTATAAGCCCGCACTCTACAATTATTGGAATTATACTTGTTATAATCTATTTAAATATTCATGTATAATTAATAACTTAGTGTATATAAGTAATGTGCTGTTCAATAGTTAGTTAATAAAGTTTCAATCAAACCAGCAAGTTATTACAATACTACGCATAAATTTATTGTACATGGGGAAAATTTTTAAAATAAATAAATAAGACTATCAATCATTATTTATTAATGACATCTTTTTGGCAGAAACATATATTTGACATTTTGACCTTTCTCAAGACTACTTACCTATATTTCCTAAATCTTCTGAAACCAATGAAGTTTCTTTACAAATTTGAAAATATATTTCTCTTCATTTTTTGTCTCTGGGTTTGTTTTCATTTCTTGCTCAATTGCTTGCAACATCAACTCCTTTTCAGCCCCTTGTGCTGCTGCTATAATACTTTTACCTTTATACATTTCAATAACATCAGTCAAATTCAATTCTAGTCTATATGTATAACTGGTGACATCTGACCCCTCGTTAACAAATCCACCATGATCTTGTAAAGGTATAAGCACCGTCTCACCATAATTACTAATTCCAAATTTAGGCACTTTATACTTTGGGTCAAGCATTTCCTCGATATTTTTTATCCATGACACGGAACGGTCGGGTACATACCATATTAGTCCTAGCATCGCTTTTGGCTTTAGGACTCTGTGAATTTCCTCAATGGCTTTTTGGTCTTTACAAAACCAGTGAAAACTTGTGGCAGCCAGAATACAATCCACAGAATTATTGGTCAAACCTGCAACATTTAAAATGTGCATTAACCCTTTCCCTTGAGGAGTAAAATAGTTTGGAGTTTGACGGTAGGGGGTCACAGCTGCTTGGGTTAATTTAACAAGAGCTGGTCTTACCCAGGAGTACTGTGTATAACTAAAATGTGAGCATTACAAAAGGGAGAGTTAAATTGAAGAGTTGAGATTTTGGAGTTAAGTTTGAACTACGCCCACTTTTTCCAATGAACTCTTCCGATGTTCAATCTCTCAATAGCCTGCATAGCAGTCGCTTTATTTTTTGGAAGGTTTTGAGGATTTGTCATTTATAATGCAGAATTTTTTAGAACCTTCAAAAGATAAAGTGAGTGACTGCTACGCAGGCTAACCTTTCAAGTAACATGGCATTTAGGTTAACTTTAAAATAATAATCAGACTTAACTAACGTCACGCTACCCAACCATAACAACAGAGAGTTATGAAAACATACTCTCCAATGGATGTTACTGCGGATTCAGGTAGACCGTGAAATGCAAATAGTTGTCGCGTTACTTTTAACAGTTGCACGATGACGTTTCTAGGCAGATTTTCAGACGTTTCTAAGGCGTGGCTTCAACGTTTATTTTCAAAATTTAAATGTTGTAATTCCACTTTTGATCGCAAAAATGTGGAACGTCATTCAAAATCCTGGCTTAAAAATCATATTTCATGAAAATTATATCTTCGTTTAAAAAGATTGGCGTTATACGTTTGTTCGAACAGTATAAATCATATTCTATTTTTATTTGAACAAAAGACATGTTGACGAAAGCAACTAACGGACCGGTCATTATTTATGGAAGGGGGGGAGGGGAATTTTTTCTTTCCTAAATTTTTAAAATTGAAAGCCCCCCCTTAAAAGAGCAGAAATTTAATGATGACCCCCCCTACATATTAGAATATTTTTCTTTGACCCCCCCTTTTCATTTTTACTCGACAAATGGGGATACCCAGGCGTTATAATGCTAATTATTAATTAAATAAGAATATGGAGCTGACAAGATATTAACATCGACCAAAAATATATATTAGCAGAAAATTATAATTAAAAGAGGGGTATTTTTATATATAACTCTAAAATCAGGTTTCCATTTGGTCTGGGCGATTGTAACCATGTTTAACGGCAGAGAATTAATATTAGTGTTTGGAGGCAGGTGCCGTTTGTGGTCCAAGGCTGGAACTACATTTGATGGCACAAAGTATTGCCATAGCAGCTGCATAGCAATGAGAGTAACAATCAGTAATATTAGCAGCAAAAGGAGATAGCCATGACAATTCTGGACATTCTGCCAAGGCATATACCTCCGGCACCAGTCACACTGACAAGTCAGTGGAAACAAAATATAATGTATAGTGGTCCATACATCCTATTTTATGTGTGATTAAAAATTATATAAAATAAAATACTACCAGATAAAATCCTCTAGAATAAACATGGGTGGGTGGGTAGGGGAAAGGTATCTAAGCACTAAACTTGCTGCAGCTAGGCAAAGCATACAATGGCAGTATGAATACCCAGACCGAAGCACTGATCACAAGGCGTGAAACAACCCCCTTTAATCGATATGACGTCACAGACTCCTATCAGTGGATGTGGCCTGCATAATACATTCGCCGTTAACCTTGCTTAAATGTATTTAACCACATCAAGATAGCTGATGTAATAATACATTGTCAATTTATCTCTGCAATCAGTAAAGACTGATTTGCATACAGCACACAGAAGACAAGTAAATCCAGACTATTTCACATCAGTGACCATGATTTAGTCGCAATTACAACCAAATGGATACCATGCTTATTAAACAAATTCCTTCAACATTTAATTGCAACCCCCCCCTCTCATTTTCTTGAAAAAATTTAATAGCCCCCCCTTCTAGTCATTTATTTATACATATGGCCCCCCTCATTTTTTCCCTCCCCCCTTCCATAAATAATGACCGGTCCCTAAAATAGAATGACAGAAATGTTGAAACGTGTTTACTTTTTAACAAAACGTTGAAGCCACGCCCTAGCAACGTCTGAAAATCTGCCTAGAAACGTCATCGTGCAAATTGAAAGAGAGTTAAGAAATTGGGTGCTGTGAAACCTTAAACCTCCGAAATCTTAACTCAGAAGTCGACCTTCTGTGAGGTTCCTCTTCTGTGGTATGTATTCTGTGGTATGTATTCAGTGGTTACTTAGGTAAACTAAAGTGTGCTGGTATAGACAAGTTTGTACAGAGTGGAAGTACATACCATCTAAATCACTAGCAGGACACTGCAATATCTCGACATTTGGCACCATTTCTTTAAATTTTTCACACATCTCTTTGAGCGGTTCCGTTGCAATGATCTTAAAATTCTTCACAGCATGTTTTTCAAACACTTTCAACACAGCTCTTGGGTCATTCCATTTATTATCCGCACCCCCCCTATGGATGAGCGGATTCCTACCGGTCAGATATTAGGACTTAGGGGATTCCTACTGGTCAGATATTGGGAATTAACAGATTCCTTTGGCCCGATTCCTACCGGTCAGATATTGCCGTCAAGGTGTAGTATACTATATTGCCAAATATTTATTATGAGAATCATAATAATTTCATTTATTATTCTCACCACCCCCCCCCCGGTCTGACATTGGGAATTAGCAGATTCCTACCGGTGAGATATTGGCAATTAGCAGATTCCTACCAGTGAGATATTGGCAATTAGCAGCATTCCTAGGGATTAGATTGATACTGTCGATTCCAACAGGGTACTTCTCTGAAATCCGATTCCTACAGGTAACATTTTTACCAGAGCTCATCCATAGGGGGGGTGCGGATAATAAATGGAATGACCCCTTGTGAATTTTCCAGTCCCTGCTCCTAACTCGACAATCGTGAAAGGTTCAGGCCCCAAATGAGGCTTTAAAGCACCCACTTTTTCCAATAGAAACTCCACTGAGTCGAGGTTATAGTCAGGGCGAGTTTTCTCGTAAATATTTGAGACGCCAGGGTTCGACCAACCTCTCGCTGCTTCGCTGACAGACTCCATTTTTGAGAGGCGAAAATTCCGTAATTTTAAACCAAATTGATTGAGGTTTGAAGTTAAAATAGGCGTAGGTAGCTTGTGTTTTAATATGGGAAGTTTAGAATATCATAACAAAGACGATTAAAACAATAAAACGTCTTTTTAAATTTTTGTTTTACACCAAGTTGGCAAGTTGAAACTTAATAGCAAAATCAAAATTTGTTGCGTAATCAGCAAATCTACTCGGCAGTGTTTCCATGAAATGCGTTTTCTTTTTACCTTTTTTCGGAAATATGGGACACATTATGGTAAAAACGCGCAAGTTTGTTACAGGTCTGCAAACAAGTAGTTGCAAATCTGTTCACAAGCCGTCAACAAGTTGTGTTCGCACTGATTATTCCCAGTTGTTGGAACAAGTTTGGACCAAGCTGTCAACAGCTTGTAACAAGCTTGATGGCATTATCAGACTTGTTGCAAGGTTGTTCTAACAAGTCCGATACAGTCATGATATAACAAGAATGTTACAAGGTTGACGACACAAGGTTGTAATAATATTGTTATATCGTGACTGTATCGGACTTGTTGGAACAACCTTGCAACAAGTCTGATAATATCAACAAGCTTGTTACAATTTGTTAACAGCTTGTTCCAAACTTGTTGACAACTTGGGACAAGCAGTGCAAACACAACTTGTTGACAGCTTGTTGGCAGATTTGCTACAAGATGCGATATTTTTACGCGTGTACACACGTAAAAATATCGCAACTTGTCAACAAGATGTGTTCGCAACAGGCTTGTAGCAAGCTTGCTAACAAGTTGTGACAAAGTTGTTATTTTTATCAAGTTGCTACAAGGTTGTTACTCACAACTTATTGACAAGTTGTTGAATTGCAGGAGGATAACAAGTTGTTGGAACAACTTGTAACAAGTCTGTTGAACTCAATAACCTTGTAGCAAGTTGCCAACAAGCCGCTGACAACATGTCAATAAGCCGTTGACAACATGTCAACAAGCTGGGAACAAGCAGTGCGAACACATCCTGTTGACAAATTGTTGGAACAGCATTGCTACAACTCTGCTGCAGGTTTGTTACAACTTTTACGTGTGTACACACGTAAAAATTTCACATCTTGTAGCAAGTCTGCCAACAAGCCGTCAACAAGTTGTGTTCGCACTGCTTGTCCCAAGTTATCAACAAGTTTGGAACAAGCTGTTAACAATTTGTAACAACCTTGATGACATTATCAGACTTGTTGCAAGGTTGTTCCAACAAGTACGATACAGTCATGATATAACAATATTGTTACAACCTTGTGTCGCCAACCTTGTAACATTCTTGTCACATCATGATTGTATCAGACTCGTTAGAACAACCTTGTAACAAGTCTGATAATGCCATCAAGTTTGTTCCAAGTTGTCAACAGCTTGATCCAAACTTGTTACAACAACTGGGAACAAGCAGTGCGAACACAACTTGTCGACAGCTTGTGAACAGATTTGTAACAACTTGTTTGCAGACCTGTAACAACTTGTGCGTTTTTACTGTACACACGTAAAAACGTACAAGTTGTAACAAACCTGCAGCAGACTTGTAGCAATGCTGTTTCAACAACTTCTCAACAGGATGTGTTCGCACTGCTTGTTCCCAGCTTGTTGACAAGTTGTCAACGGCTTGTTGACAACTTGCTACAAGGTTGTTGAGCTCAACAGACTTGTTACAAGTTGTTCCAACAACTTGTTCCAACAACTTGTTATCGTCCTGCAATTCAACAATTTGTTAAGAAGTTGTGATTGACAACCTTGTAGCAACTTGATAAAATAACAGCATTATTACAACTTGTTGGCAAGCTTGCCACAAGCCTGTTGCGAACACATCTTGTTGACAAGTTGTGAGATTTTTACTTGTGTATCAGTGGTTTTTACGTGTGTAAAGTCTGCTTTCCAGTTAATGTTTTGCACGTGCACACGTACGTATACGCACGAAAAATCTTTCTAAATTTTATATAAATACCAATGACCTCAACAAATACACACGCAAAAATCTCACATCTTGTAGCAAGTTTGTCAACAAACCGTCAACAAGTTGTGTTCGCACTGCTTGTCCCAAGTTGTCAACAAGTTTGGAACAAGCTGTTAACAATTTGTAACAGCCTTGTTGATATTATCAGGTTTGTTACAAGGTTGTTCGAACAAGTCCGATACAGTCATGATATAACAGTACTGTTACAACCTTGTGTCGTCAACCTTGTAACATTCTTGTTATATCATGACTGTATCAGACCCATTAGAACAACCTTGTAACAAGTCTGATAATGCCATCAAGCTTGTTACAAGTTGTCAACAGCTTGTTCCAAACTTGTTACAACAACTGGGAACAAGCAGTGCGAAGACAACTTGTCGACAGCTTATGAACAGATTTGTAACAACTTGTTTGCAGACCTGGAACAACTTGTGCGTTTTTACGTCAGTTCATCCAGTCGCCCTATGTCTGCTTTCCAGTTAATGTTTTGCACGTGCACACGTACGTATATACGCACGAAAAATCTTTCTAAATTCTGTATAAATACTAATGACCTCAACAAATACACTTCATTTCATACACAAAACTAAAACCTTACTTGTATCATCACACATCCAAAGCCTGCAGTCATCCAGTAATTTTTCTGTGCATGAGAGTGACAAAGAAATAGACTGTCCATCTTTAATAGTGGGGCAGATTGGTGAAAATTATATAATTGTGCATTTTATGTTAATACACACGTAAAAATCTCACAACTTGTCAACAAGATGTGTTCGCAACAGGCTTGTAGCTGTAGCAAGCTTGTCTTGACAAGTCGTAACAAGTTGCTATCAAGGTTGTCACTCACAACTTGTTGACAAATTGTTGAATTGCAGGACGATAACAAGTTGTTGAAACAACTTGTAATAAGTCTGTTGAGCTCAACAACCTTGTAGCACGTTGTCAACAAGCTGGGAACAAGCAGTGCGAACACATCCTGTTGACAAGTTGTTGGAACAACATTGCTATAAGTCTGCTGCAGATTTGTTACAATTTGTGCGTTTTTACGTGTGTAGCACACAACTTGGCATACTGTTAGGGTATCATCAATTTTAAGTTACATAAGGTTGAACCTGCTAAAAACCAGTTTTCTGTGACCTTTTTGTACCATTTTGCGGTTTTTGACCGTTAATAACTCGGGATAGGCTTGGAAAACCGTACTACTCGCTTAATAAATGTTCTTCACATAGTTTTTTGCGATCTTTCTAACGATATAGGTGATATTTGCTAAAAGTGAACTTTGAAATTTCACTTTTTTATAAGATAGTACTTTAATAGGTAAATGGTAAGAAAAACAAAATGTTGTGGCAACCAGGAGTTAATCTGCAATGCCCCTATTAGAGATGTGCATCGGATCGGATTGGACGTTTATAATCCGACAATTGCCTAATGTTTAAAATCCGATCCGATCCGAAATTGTCTAATCCGAATCCGATCCGAGCTTTGATAAAGAATTCCAATCCAATCCGATGAATTCTTTAATAAAATAAATTTCTCATTCAAGTTGAAATATTTAACGAAGAAGCTGACAAAGTGACGTCCAATTGAAGTATCAAACGAATAATGCAGCGACAACCGTGATAATGCTTTGATAAATGCATGGATAATTAATTCTTGCGATAATGCGTGGATAATTAATTCATTTTATTTCGGATATCGAAGTCCGATCCGACTACGAAACAACTTTATCAATCCGATATGAATATTTTGGTTCCGAAATCCGAACGAATCCGATCGGATCGGATTCGGATCGGATTTGCACACCTCTAGCCCCTATAGCCAAAAAATGTCCTCAGGGTATATCCTAACATTATGCCAAGTTGTGTGCTTTTATCATCAAATGCACAATTTTGCCACCAATCCGCTACATTGTAATGTGCCAGGGATGATCGATCTGTCTCAGAACCATTGCGAGAATAGATTCTGCTGTTCTAACTAGTTCAACTGGATGGATGTTGCGTCCAGGCGTATCGTCCATCTCTAGGATAAATCGGGCCACTCATATATACTATATTAAATAATTAGAGTTACTTCCGTGTATCACGTAAGGCGATCAGCAACTTCTTTTAGGATGTGGCGTCGTTCAAAAATGAAAACCTGACATTCCCATAACATATTCACCAAGACTTGGTCGTCTTTCTCGTCGAGAGAGACATCTGAGTAGATCTGTGGATTCACACGACGGTAGAATACATCAATCATCTCACACCAGGAAGCCGCACGATCTACAACAGCCCCTGTTGACGACGTCGCCTGAAAGTTAAAGGATATATTTTAGGGTCATGTTTGTACCATTCGAGGGGTACATGGTTAGTGTATGTTAAAATGCAGTTGTTTCATTATAACTGTGGGAAGAGATTTTGCAGTTTCCTTCGCTTTCCTCAAGTAGTACCATTCAATTTCCATCCAGCTGGATGGCGCGACAAACAGTGGAAAGACAATGGTATATTCTGATCACTGAATCATGATTGGATAATGAAAAGACAATGGAACACTCTGATCACTGGATCGTAACTGGATGGCATGGAGAACAGTTGGTTTTTCAAAACAATGAAAAGACAAGTGGAACATTCTGATCACTGGATCATGACTGGATGGCATCGGAGAACAGTGGGTTTTTCAAAACAATGAAAAAACAATTGAATATTCCGATCACTGTATCATAACTGGATGACATGGAGAACAGTGCATGGGATATTCAAAACAATGAAAAATTCTGATCACTTGGTTTTTCAAAACAATGAAACATTCTGATCACTGGATCGTGACTGGATAGCGTAAAGAACAGTCGGATTTTCACAACAAGAAAAGACAATGAAAAATTCTGCTCACTTGGTTTTTCAAAACAATGGAACATTCTGATCACTGGATCATGACTGGATGGCGTGGAGAACAGTCGGATTTTCAAAACAATGAAAAGACAATCGAACACTCTGATCACTTGGTTTTTCAAAACAATGAAATATTCAGATCACTGGATGATGTGGATCGTGACTGGATGGCATGGAGAACATGCAATATATAGGATATTCAAAACAAGAAAAGACAATGGTAGAATCCGATCACTGGATTTCTCTGGCAGGAATTGAACCTGTGGTCCAAAAATGTATATACTGTAAATTGGGGCGGTTGCTTTTTTCGCAACTGCTCCTGGTTATGTTATGTTAGAACAAAAACAAATGTGTATAAATTTGCGTTCGAATATTCCATCTAAAAACGTCTACATCCACTACTAACCTGTTCCACCAATATTTCAACCAAAGCTTGAGCTCCGAAAGCAATCTTGGCTACGTCACTCACCGATGTCGGTCGTAACACATCGATATTCGTGACGGGTACCTCCGGGGGCATTCCGGTGCCAAGGGAGAACACGAGCCCGACTTTCTTACACGTGTTATGTGGAGGCGCCTTCGGCTGGGCGTTCTTATAGAAGGAATGCATGAAGGAAATTAGATCCAACGTTGGGTTGTTTGCAATCAAACCTCCGTCAAGCATCCGGCCCAGAGCACGGAAATATGTTGGAGCCGCACCAGTCCCTCGTGCTGCACGCCACACCAGTTGGTCTAAAGGGGAATGGATGTATGATAATTATAAATGACTGTATACTGTAGAGTTTGAAGTATATAAAGAAATGCATGTATGCTAAGTAGCTAACCTTTTGGTTTCGAGAGGGGCGGAAACTTGGCATTTTCATCAGGTTCTTTATCGTCCTCAGGTATGGAGAAATTACGAAAGAGATGAAGGGCGGGAGGTATTCGATCCGATACTGCGCCTGTAGCCAAAACTCTATATGAAACAACATAGAGTTATAATAGTTTTGTTTGTGGAAACACCACGTAAATTTATTTATTGCAGTAATAAATTTACGTGGTGTTTCCACAAACAAAACTATTATATTTTATCGCCATGCAAACATACAAAGAACTTATAACATAGAGTTAGTAACTGAACTGCCAACTCTCGTAAACTCTCACCCTCGTTCGACCAAAGTTTTACTTACGGCTGAGAGCTACTGTAAGCTGAATTGCGAAAGACGCAGCTCAATCTGATCGAGTCGAAGGCTTTCCAAGGGCGCCTCTAGCAGCCACCTTATGACTCATGTCTGATCACGGAGCACAGCTACGGTGGAAGGGTCAGTTAGGGGCTAATCCCAACCCACCCTGTCAACATTCCCTGTGGGAGGAAACCAGAGTACCCGGATAAAACCCACGACTTTCGGTAGAGTGTTGACTGACTCTTTTCACACAAGTGTCATGAGTCCGCAGCGAGAATCGAACCCACGATCTCGGAGTTGCAAGGCGCTTGCTCTGATTACTGTACCTCGGATAGCCGATACTTGTCATTATGGTATCAGCGCCAAATTCCTGTTGTAAGAATTTCTCAAAAGGTTCGGACGGATAAGGACGTGCGCCAACAAACACTTCGTCTTTGAATCTGAAGTAAAGTTGTTGTAAATATGGCGTAGATTTTCCTGCAAGAAAAAATGAAAGTAATGGAGGTGGAGTACTTGTGCCTTTGTGGTCGGGGTTCGAGAAACAATCACGGTATAACGATATTGTTACAACCTTGTGTCATCAACCTTGTAACATTCTTGTTATATCATGACTGTATCAAACTTGTTATAACAACCACAAACAACCTTGTAACAAATCTGATAATGCCATCAAACTTGTTAGAAGTTAACAGCTTGTTCCAAACTTGTTACAACAACTGGGAACAAGTAGTGCGAACACAACTTGTCGACAACTTGTCAACAGATTTGTAACAACTTGTTTGCATACAATACAATACAATACAATACAATACAATAAACTTTATTTGAATTCGAATTTGAGATAGTTATACAATAAGCCAATATCTTCGAATATATAGAATATATATATACATACTAAAACTAAATATAATATTAATTAATGTTTCTAATAAATAAACTAACTTCCAAAGTTTATATCAGATATTGACATTATAAAGTTGTGCAGAGTATCTTGAACCCTGCAACTTTCTGGCAAACCATTCCATCGTTTAACTACGTCATATCGAAAAGAATGAAGTCCATGCTTTGTAGTCATAACTTTTGGTAAATCCAGAATATCCGACCCACGTAGCGAGTAGTATGCACTTCGTCTATTTAACATTTGCTTCAAATGTTGTGGATATCTTTCACAATGGATGCATTTGTAACAAGTTATTAGCATATTACCCACCCGTTTATTATGGAGTGAAACAACTTGTAACAACTTGTGCGTTTTTACGTGTGTATAGGCCCTCTGGCAGGAATCGAACCTGTAGCCCCCACAAAAATCCATCAACATTTAATTCTGTCAAGTAATATGCCCAAAATCCCAATATTTAACAAAATATTCTATATAATCTATAGAATAATATAATCTATTCCATTTTATATGTTCCACAATCCAGTTTAATATGAGATCAGTGCACTTACCGTGCAGGAGACCCAAAGCAAGAATCCCTCCGGTACTTGTGCCTGCTATCCAATCAAAAAGCTTCACAAGTGGTTGCTTAGCAACACGTTCAAGATTCAGAAGTACTTGTATGAGGATGAGGCCACGAATACCACCACCATCTGCAAATATACAGGGAAGATGTTTATATAATAACTACAGTGAAACACGCAATTTGCCCCCACCCTTACCTATATCCTCACCCCATCACTCTTACCTAAATCCTTACCCCCACCCTTACCTATATTCTTGCCTCATCACCCTTACCTATATCCTCACCCCATCACCCTTACCTATATATCCTTACCCCCACCCTTACCTATACTCTGGCCCCACCACCCTTACTTATATCCTCACCCCATCACCCTTACCTATATCCTTGCCTCACCACCTTACTTGTATCCTTGCCCCCACCCTTACCTATATCCTCACCCCACCATCCTTACCTATATCCTCACCCCACCACCCTCACCTATATCCTCACCCCACCACCCTTACCTACATCCTTGCCCCACCACCCTTACCTATATCCCCCATCATTACCTAAACAAAGTGCGCTGTCATCTTTCCTCTTTTTCTTCATGATTGACTGTCCGTCGTTCTCGTTTCTACCCGCTCCAGATTTTGTATATTTAACATTAGCATGAGCTCCGGCCGCCATGATCTTAGCTACGTCATCAAGCTTCACCGAGACATCTCCTCGTGCCTTTGACAACTCATTTCCTGGTTCTGCAGCCGCTATATAATGGAAGATATGAATATTTTTCAATCACATTATTTCAATGACGGCGAAATGTTGGGGATGCGAATTTAAAGCCTCGGTCAAACGAGAATGAGAGTTGATGAGAGGTTATTGAGAGGTTGCAAATCTCGCTCACGTTTGACAGTCAAACTTTCATCAACTCTCATGCAACTTTTATTCTCGTTGGCCTGGGCATGAGAGTTGAGAAAATTCTCATGCAAACTCTCGCTTCTCAACTCTCATTCTCGTTTGATCAGATAATTTAATTACATTTAAGGCCCAGACGCACCTAAAGCTATTTCACAACGCGGTGAGATTTTCACTGACATACACTGTACAGTATATCTTTGATCCTGGTTTACAGTCGATTTCACGTACCTTTTGCCGAAATATCCCGAACTTCGTTGCAAGTTCATTTGCAAGTTCATTTCGAAGTTCCAAAGTTTGAAGTTTCCAACAGTTTTCACCGGTTTGTGAATTTCACTGTTAAACTTGCCTCGAAACGAACTTTGCGAACTTCGGAACGAAGTTTGGAACATTTTGGCAAAAGAACATTTTGGCAAAAGTTTTGTGAAATCGACTGTAAGTTTTTCAATGACATTT